TTTTTCGCAAAATTTTCGCATTTTCCCCAATATGATCGCATTTTTTTTTGCAAACTTTTCGCATATTTTATTTCGCAAAAAATTTCATTATTTCGCGAAACGAATAAAGGCGAAATTTCGCGAAAAAATTAATTGATTCAATCTTTTCGCAAGAAACCCTAGTTACGCATGGGGTAAAAACTAATCTTTTAATAGTTCTAGCTCTCAAATGTATCATTTATTCTCAGAAAAATATGAATCAATTGATAGTTTGAAAAAAAATAGTTTTGGTTTCCAATTTTTTCAGAGCCCGCGATTTAAAAGCTTCGGCTCGAGTCTTAATTCCTTAAACGCATCTTTAAGACCCAATCTTAGACCCAACTCTGACGACAGCTTGTGTCACGTGATTGACAGCTGCGAGATCTTAGGATCGACTTAAGGAGTTAAGCCCAATGAAAATAAAACCGACCTTGGTTGGTTTTAGTGAAGAATAAGGCTCAATGTTGGGTCTTATTCTCATCAAAACCCGGAATGCACCAATTCCAACTATGAAAATCCGCCAAATACAACATTAGACCGGTTTTATGAACTATATTCTGTTGAAAAATAGATGCAACTTAAATTCGAAATTGATCAACAGGACACTATTAGTGAAAAAAGATAATGCTTGTTAAAAATATCTCAGGGTCAAGCATTGACTAATATAAATCCTATTCAATTTCCCGTGATGAACACACCTTGTGGGAATAACTTTAATTAAGAGCCCAAACATTAATCCTCAAAAGTGCCCACATTAAATATCGATATCAATCGCTCATAATTAACAATACACTTTTAAAAGTTCTTAGTTCTCTTCAGATAGTATTCCCTTCACCCTGGATGCAAACCTAATTGAAAGAGCCTTAATGTAAGCTCTGAACTTATATAATAGTGTTTTAATTAGAAAACAATGTTGTGTGCTAACTACTAATGGTGCCGAATGATGCAGGAGGTTCCAACAAACATGGAAATTAAAAGACGACACCAAAATCACCTTTGACTATATGACAAAACATGTATTTTCTAAGTGTGGTCTACCTTATTTATATTTTAGGAATTTACAGAGTAATTCAAAAGTTAGACAATTATTTAAATTATGAAAATGGAAGACCACATTTTTAAAAACCCAAGACTAGAAGTTTTCTATGTAAACTTTAAAGACGATATTAAAGTTGGCACTTACTTCCTATGTTTCTTGGAAAACGCTGTCTATAATGGGCTTGAGTAATGGTTTGGTATAATTATCCCGCTGTATGGTGTTATGTCAGTGAGGCTGCAAATGGAAAATAAATACAATTTTTTATCAATACTAATATTTTAGCATTTTAGGGCTTTTAGCGTTTAAATGTTGATCTTTAAGTGGTCATTTTTCTTTGCAATTGTAACACTTAAGTTTTTAAACTTAATTATTATACATAAACTTGAAGGAGGGGGGGGGGCGATAAATCAATCAATGATATGTTGGGAAATTTTTGAAAAAATTATACATAATGTACTCGACCTTCAATGTCCCCCCCCCCCTTTAGCCGCAGGTACACATAGAACAGTTTTTATTAATAATTTAAAGTATTTAAAACAGCTCACTTGTAAGATTAAATATTTACATAATGCATCATTGGAATGTTATTTTAACAATTTAATATTAATGAATGTAATATAATAGTAAAGGATAAGGAAAAAAGACATGGGTAAAATAAAAAATTGTTGTGGCAAATTGTTTTTAATGTACGAACAATTCACGTTTGTAAAGTAACATTTAAACAATAGAAATGATTAAATAGTAATATAACTTTAATTGTATACATTACAATTTTTATTGTTTATCAATGTTATTAATAAAAATATTTTTACTAATTGTAATGGTCTCAAAACTATTAACCAAGTTTTGTAAATTAGGCTTATAGGGCTCTTTGCACCCATCTTCTATTTCAATTGTGAACATGTTCTCTTTGTGAACACTGTAAAAAAAGTTCGCGTATTTTATTTTTAAAATCACGGATTTCAAAGTTTTTCAAAATTTTACAAAAATAAAAAAACTTTTCAAAACGAATTTTAAAATTTTTATCATTTATAAACCTTCCATGGGGTTACTCGAGGTGCCACACAAAATTTGGGCCCGATCGGTTCAGTCGTTTTGACGTTTATCGGATGCTAACCACCCTAACAGACAAGCTAAATTTATATATAGATTAGATGAATTATCAATATATATTAATATCAATAATTCTCAGAAAGAAACAAGAAATGAGACAATTTAGGAAATAAAACATAAAAGCATATATTTGTGCAAAAAGGAAAAGAGATTCAAATGCTGATCGTTTATTTTTATACAATCAGATAAAATGGAATGCATTTCTGAATCCAAAGATGTCAGTTTATGAATCAGGAAAGATTAAAATTTGATAGGCTTACAATTTTTTATATTTTTGTATTCCTGATTTTATTTTATTTTCCTTTCTACACGTATTGCTTGTGTCTGTCGTGATGTTTGTATCCAATGAACGTCAAAACATCTATACTGATATGGCATTGGCAACTTACATGACCCCAGGCCGGGAAGGTTTTTGAATCGTCAAAGTTTAAAAAATAAGGCCTGGAAATAATACATTTGAAAACTGAAATTTCTACTATAAAAAGGGCGCAAAATAACCCAGTTGTTTATAATAAACAAAAAAGTCTCATTTAACCCAGTATAAAATTGAAAATATTGAAAATATTGAAAATATTGAAAATACTGAAAATATTGAAAATATTGAAAATATTGAAAATATTGAAAATATTGAAAATATTGAAAATAATGAAAATATTGAAAATATTAAAAATATTGAAAATATTGAAAATATTGAAAATAATGAAAATATTGAAAAGCCCAAAAAAAATATTTTTCATTGATTAGATCAAAATTGATAAAAATTGCTTGAACTAGTTAGTTTTGACAAATCTCTGCAAAAATGAAAAGAAATCTGGAAAGGAAATACAAAATTCTTGGTGATTGGTGCCACACTTTCCTTGCTTTTTTGAATTGTGTCCTGAAGAAATAGCCTTTAGGTTCATAACCCTTGATTTTAGTGTACAAATCAAGTGCACATTCAATTGAAAATTGTTTTAAAGAATTAACAAAAATTCTTGCATACTTCCGCCTTATTCACATAGCTTTCCTGTAGCCTGAATGATGAATGTATGCGTAAAACTGAATTTATCCAAGATACGGGGGGGGGGGGGGCTAAATGTTGCTACCTTTAAGGTTGAAGGAAAAACATACCCCCTCACATACCGGAAACACATACCCCTCACACATACCGGAAACACATACCCCCGGACACATACCGGAAACACATACCCCTCGGACACAGGCCGGAAACACATACCCCTCGGACACATACCGGAAACACAAACCCCCCGGACACATACCGGAAACACATACCCCCGGACACATACCGGAAACACATACCCCCCGGACACATACCGGAAACACATACCCCTCGGGCACATACCGGAAACACATACCGGACCTCTGTACTATGCATGAAGTAAAATGGGAAGAAAAAAACAAATATTTAATGTTTTATAAATATTTGAAAGTATATAGAAATTTCATAGTTCTAGAAAGATAAGGAATTCGTTTATCAGCGGCTTGTTGATCCTAGGTCATATTTATTCTTCAGTTATAATATTTCACCAAATACAAAAACTAGGTTTTAAAATCTAAATAAACTATTAACGTGATTCTATTTCAATTGGAAATTTTATAATTTAAGAAATTGAACTGCATTTAAATTTTGAATTTAAATTTGAGAGAAGTTATTCTCTCTGTTTCAAAATTTCGCCCATTTGGAGATATTGAAGTGTAGAATGAGCTTAACTAATTAATTCGACATAAATCTACTCAGTGTCATTTGCCATAAAACAATAAAATATTTAAAAATATCTTCATTTTATTTTTATTTTTAAATTACAGATCCAAGTGATAAGGCATAATTTAATATTTATTTGCACCAACTTTTATCTTGAAACGGAGTTTTATTTATCTTAACTTTTTGTTTATAGATATAAATATAAGCTTAAATTCATATTTATTACTGAATACTTGGCTTTGAGGACGCTTCGCGCCAGTCCTTCCATGAAAAATTTGTGTTTTCAAGAAAAAGCAAAATTATTTTTTTATTTTGTTTGTCTGTATCCAATAAACGTAGATGTTAGTACTTATATATATATTATATAGAGCATATATAATTATAAAATATATTCTCAATAGAATACAATTACTATTTTTTTATCTATGTTACAGTTGTAGAGTATAAGGGCAAACCTTATCTCTATTCATTCTTTAAACGCTTGTTAGTTTAAAATAAAATACATTTGATGTTACAAATTTTATTTCAGTGTTTCTAAAGACTTCAAATTTTAAATAATCCTTTTTATAGTACTTTTATTTAAAAGAGTGGAAAGCTGATATTATAAATTATTTTCAGATTTTAAGAAAGAAGCTTTTGCCACAAACTTTGATTTTCTAATCCCTATATCCTTGCAACTCAATGTCCGGTAGACCTTTGATATTGCATACAACGAATTTTGTTGGAAAAAATAATAAAAATTTGCGTTTACAATATCAATGCTTTCCTCCATCAAGTTGCAAAGTTCTATGGATTAGAAAATTTGAGCGTGTGGCAAAAAAACTCAGTTTCTTTAAAATGATTAAATGTTCTATACCATGAACGATTGTTAACATCTCATTTTTATGCCTAAACAAAAGTGTATCTATATTAAAAAATGTACTTTTCTTATCAATTGCTTGGTAGGGAACATTAATTTCTAAAAATTGCAAATTTTTTTATATATAAGATGAACTTTTTACACATTTTTATTTTTAATCAAAATGATTTTTTCAGAAAATCAGGAAATCAAAAAGTTTAGGAAGTCTTCATCGATTTTACTTTGTGAAAAACCATGTTTAGAATTAACAAATATTTGTTAAAATTTCAAATATCTCCAACTCAATTAGAATATATTCCAGATTGAAAATATTTATGTAAAAGATGAAGATGTATGGAATTGCAGTTTTCATACTTGGAGTTAAAGGTAAACTTAGCAACTTAGGACTTAGCAAGCAAAAAAAAACTTTATTTTGATATTTTTGAAGTCGAAAAAAAATCTAGGAATCTTTTTTTAGCCCAGAAATCAGAATTTAAACAGATCTGCGAATTCATTTTTAATTTTATGTGATGGTCATACCCTTCAGGGACCGAGCATTGATCCTCAAATTTAAAAGTGGACACGTTGGATATCGAGATATAGTGTTCAAAAGTGATAATTTGTTCACGAAAGTTTCGATCTCAGTTTATTAGTTAATGAAAAATTAGTTATTTAGATACAGGGGAAATTAATTTCAAAACTAACATTTGGCCCATTTCTAACACTGAGTGTAAGAATTGGGCACAAATTGAAAGACTGGGTTTTTGGGATCCCGGCCCAGACCCAGAGTAAAAGTCGATAATAAAAACTATAACCAACATTTTATTGAACATGACGAGGACAACTATTCTCAATTTAATACTTTTTCTTAAATTAAAATTATAACAGGAGTTCTTTTTATATTAAAGGTCTTGACCGTTTTCAAGACAGTGCACTATAATGTTTTCCATTTTCGAAAATATCCTGAATTTGAAACATTGTCGCGTTTTCGAGACAAACCACTTTCCCGCTTTTGAGTATAATCCAAAATTCAAAACAAAACTCACTTTCATAACTTACAAAATACATCAGTGAAAACAAAAATCATCTTATGAAGACTAAATTAACTTCTGGATTATTTCTAGAATCCAAGTTTTCACATTTTATCTGTTAAATTAGAAAATATCGATGATTTATTTTTAAACAGTTTTCCACTAGCAAGGAATTGACAACCTAAAAACCCCAACTATCGTATTTTATACTGTTTTTTTATCTGGAGGTGAAATTCTAAAAGCTTAATCTCGAGTAAAACCCGGTCTTAGCGTCTGTTTAAGCCCAAGTAAAGCTCAAGCAAAGACTCGAGTTTATGGTACACTTGGGGTTAGTAAAAGACGCCAATCGACTAGGTTGGTCAACTCTTAAGGCCCGAGTCTCCAAAAGCTTCAGATTTCCTAAGATTTTCTGAGTAGTTTTTCCTTCTGCATTTTTTGCTTGCTTCAAACAGACTTTCATAAATGTTAGTTTTCAGGAAAAAACTTTTATATCTATATTATTGCTTCCATTTATTATTCCCATAATTCTTAGATTCATTGGTTCTGACGGGTCAATATGCCAATAAAAATACTTCCATTGTTTATTTATGAGATAATTTAGTAAAAATATTTTACTTTTATTTTCTTTCTTATATTCTTCTGTTTCCCAAATTTTTTTTCCTTTTTTTTAATAAAAAATATTAAAAAAAAATTTTCTTCAAAAGTTTTTGTTTAAACAATATAAAACTTGAAACCTTTAGTTGCAAGATAACAAAATTCCTGAATTATATTTTTTTAAAAATCTTGTTGGGGTTATAAATTTTCAAATCTAAGATTCTATTCGATCAGCATTCCAACAAAATCAAAGGAGGGGGGGGGGGGGGGGCCATGGACGAAACGAATTAAACTTATTCTTTCCCCACATTAATAATAACAACCCATTATATCAGTGGCAAAACCTTGAGGATTAACTTAATCTAAGATAATGAGCTTAACTTTGTCGGTTCCGTGTTTAACAACTATTTTTAAAAAAGGTTAGAATTAAATGATAAACAATTCTACCCAAGTTATTTGATTTGTACTTTAACTGATCCTACATCTTCTATACAATAAGGCTTTTCGTTTATTAATTAATTCCACGGGCAACGCCAGGCCGCTTTAGCATATAATAGAGTACAAATGATGAATATTTTCTATAGTTGAGTACATATAACTATATATAACCAGATATAACCAGACATATATCCAGAATACATGAGTGGTTTTAACATCTTCAATGCATACAAATATACTGCAGAGAAATAGCATCTTTTATTTTTTCTATAATTTCTCTTTATGTTTTATATATCATCATAAAGGAGTATAGAATAGAACTAATTCGCGGCCCGCCCTACCATATGATCACACATGCTTTGCAGACGAGTACTCCATTTGTATAAGAAATATTCAGAATAGGTTATTGTATACGCGGTAACTGACAATTGTACATCAGACAAATATTTCTTAAACAAATAAAATATCGTCTGCAAAGCACTTATAATCATATGGTAGGGCGGGCCGCGTCAGTTGTATCTCCCTTCTATTCCTTACTCCTTGATCATCATGCTCTTGAAGAATAAAAGGATTGAAAAGATGATTGAACTATTTTTAAACATCTGGCTTATCATTCAAGATACTCGAGGATTTTTGTACTTGACTTTTGAATTTTTGCCAATTTATTAGTTGATTTATAAAACGACACTTGCTTACACCATAATTCATAGACATTAGACAAACGGTCAAATTTTTGGAGTTTGGGAAGTAATCACCATCATCGGAGTAATATCAGAGATTCCCTTTCATTCCTTTAGATTTTCATTGGAGACCCCCAAGCTTTTCATCTGAGACCCCACATTTTCATTGGAGACCCCAAGCTTTTCATCTGAGACCCTAACTTGTCGCAAAAATATCAGAATATCATATGCCAAATGATCAAAAATCTTTAAATGATCAAAAAAATGTACGCTAAACAGTTAGGACAACTATTTTTTCAAATTATCATACAATTTTACAATAAAGTTGATTTTCAAGTTTAAGGTATTCTTAAACATATTTTTATGAAAAAACTGTAAAATGCAAGCTCTCTCTTTCACGCAATCTATCTTTCTTCTTTCTCTTCTCTTCTATTTTCTACTCTTCTCTTTTCTTCTCTTCTCTACTCTTCTCTTCTCTTATCTCTTTTCTTTTCTTCCCTTATCTCTTATCGCCTCCTCTTTGTTTTCTCTTTGTTGTTGACATTTAACCGGTTTTGAGATGAACAATGCAGTACGATCCGTTATTATGATTTTTCTCTGATTTGTTTACATTTCAAGCTTGTAGACCTTATTGAAACGTACTGCGTTTGAACTCCATAATTAGGCATTTGACCATTTGGCATTTGATATTTTAATATTTTTGGAGATTGTCCCTTTTCGTTTTAACATCCAATTTCCATCGGAAACCCCAAGATTTTGATTGAAGACATCCAGACTTTGATCGGAAACTCAAGATTTTCATTGGAGAGCCAAAGATTTTAATTGGAGGCCCAAAGATTTTAATTGGAGAATTTGTCATACTTTTCTATTGAAAATCTGGGGGATTTCTAATGACAATCTCTGGGTCTACGATGCAAATTTTGGGGTCTCGTATGAAACTATGCAGTCTCAATGAAAAGCTTGGAGTTTCCAATGAAAATCTCGGGGTCCCAAGTGAAAATCTCGGGGTCCCAAGTGAAAAGCTTGGGGTTTCCAATGAAAATCTAGGGGTCCCAAGTGAAAAGCTTGGGGTTTCCAATGAAAATCATCTCGGGGTCCCAAGTGAAAATCTCGGGGTCCCAAGTGAAAATCTTGGAGTTTTCAATGAAAATCTCGGGGTCCCAAGTGAAAAGCTTGGGGTTTCCAATGAAAATCTCGGGGTCCCAAGTGAAAATCTTGGAGTTTTCAATGAAAATCTTTTGTAACTCTATTACAGATATATATGTTTATTTATAAAAAATTTACTTTCATTTTTAAGTGCGTGTATTTAATGAGCTCCGAAGAAATGTATTTATTATTTTTTTATCAATTTATATATTCATATGACACAACTACAGAATTCTGTGGTTTTTGTTAATATAATTATGTATTTGTTTAACCAACTAAATAATTAATAATGACATCTTCACTTCCCTTTCATCTTCCATTAGGCAAAATTGATTTAATTATTGTGCTTGTAAACAAATAATTGATACAATTTTACTCCAGCTTTAGCATCGGACACCTTCCAACTTTTTATAATACGCTTAAATACTTTTTGGATGGCTGACATTATATAAAGCGCTCATACCTTTTACTTTTTCAACAAATGTGAACAAATTTTGCACAAATAAAAACATATTATTTATGTGTTTATGGTAGTATGGTGAACAGTCAAAGGCTGGTCGATTAAACAAAAATCTTTCATAACTTTTCATTATTTGAGATATTATAGATTTAGATTAACCTTATTTACATCATAAGTTATTAACATTTAAATAATGCTAATATTTGTCTGACAAGGATTAACTTTTTTAGCCCCTCCCTTGCACCCTAACAATTTAGGTTCGAGGATTAATTTATTTAATGAGCTGACCTTGAGAAGTGTATGACACTCCCCTATGTCAACTCTAATAGGGTAAAATCATAGGGAGAGGGGGGGGGGGGGCGAGATCCTATATATGGCAAAAACTTCTTTGCAATGCTAGTGTTTTGGTCTCGAGACAATGAAGGCTAAGGTTTATGTTCTTGAATCAATTTTTTGCTTTATAATATACTAGCTTGGGAACACAGCGCTGCAAAGGTTACTCCCGCCGTTTACCCGCACTTGAACGATTTTAACGGGAATCTAAATGTTCTCTATCAAAAACTAAAGTCGACAAACTTAACTTAGAATCTTAAAACATACAAAGATTACAACTTTATATATTTAAATGAGTAATGATACAAAAATCATTCACAGTACTGGAAAGGGTTAAAATACGGATCATTTTTGGATCAGAAATTGATTGGTATTATTTTCATTCAGATCCGATGTTTAATACTTCGATATTTATAACAGATGGGCTTTCTTAATCGGGAGAAATTTAATTCTTTGCTAATTGATGCCAATTTGTAGTTCTTCACAAAAACTTAAATGTTGAAGAACTGATAAAGTCCCCCCCCCCACACAGCTAATGGGGTATTAGGGGAGGGTGAGCCAAAATGAATTTATTCCATAAACCTCTTATTTATTACATATAAGGCTTGGCCGCTTAAGAACTTTTATGGAGAGAAGTCTTCATTTGTTATGTTTTAGTTAAGAATTTTGACCGAAAACCCGCTATCTCGTTGAAAAGTTTGAAAAAGAACTTTTCAACACACTACTCTGACTAAATCAAGGTTTTGGCGTGCTGCTGGCACCCATAAATCTTTTCTATATAGCTGTTAGAATATATTTTTAAATTTAGATTATCCCGAGCCCTTGTGTTTTCTTCTGCTTTTGCAATAAAATAAATATTTATCCTCCAAAATACTCGCTGTAACAAAGACGACATATAAATATATTGCGGGTTTACAGGATCCATTCAAGGATAAATATATGAACGGGAAAAGTAATTATAAATTGTAATTATTATAAATCAGTGCTAGCTACAATTCATACAATGTTTGTAAATGAAAAGATAAACAGAATATATTCAATTGTCCATTCTCTACGTGAAACACAAGACAAATGCATTTTAAGAGGAGTATTGTGACAAAAAAAGTCATCCCCTTATTCCAAGCTACACTCCCCTGTCCTTCCCCATCCACACACCCCCTCCATCTACCACTTTACCAACATGAAGCAACTTCAAATAGAAATTCGTATCCTAGAAAAGTCAGGATATATTTTAGTTAAGTATATAAAAGTCGAGAACACGTGACATTGTGCTTTACATCCATTCTTACATAGATTAAGACAGATTAAGACAGATGGCAAAAATCTTACATATATTTGAAAATTACTTCTATAACTTTTTATCTTTGTAACCCAATCTGCTAGGACTTTGATATTTCAAACTAAACACTCAAATAGTCAAAGTTTTACATGTTAAAGGTATACACCATCAGAGACTGAATTTAAAGAATTTGAGCCGCGGCTCAAATATGATTGGTTCCACTTAAAATTGTATTCAATATTTCAAATTTTAAGCCGGCACTCAATTCAAACCGGTTTTGGGCGGATTTGAGACGTGGCTCAAATTTATTAAATTCGGACTCAGGTCCCCAAAAAACAGAGATAAAGAAATCAAAGTTTGTAGCAAAATAAAATCAGTTCCTTAACGAGACTGAAATCGTACCTTAAAGTGGTCATTAATGGCAATGCCCGATTCATGATGGTACCCTTTAAAGCAGTGGCTAATCAAGTATGAATTAGATATCAATGCTTATTACAGTTTGAAAACTGATTAATTTCAATCGTGACTTCTCTAAAAATGTGACAAGAGCATTTCTACGGCATGAATGGAATTTATCAAAATTAAACACTTTTAAAGCTAGAAAACAAATCTTCCCCAATATTGAACAGATAAAGGTTTAAAGGGTTCAGTTGTAAATAGGACAATACCATCTTTACATGAAGTGTTGCTTGAACAGAAAAGGTTTTAAAGGGTACAGTTGTAAATAGGACAATACCATCTTTACATGAAGTGTTGCTTGAAAGTACACTGTTATGTGTAAGCGTAATTTTAAGCTTTACAAATAAAGACTTGTTGTTCTTTTGTAAAAGAAACAGAATTCTCAAAAGACCATGTATTGTATTTTGTTGGGAAAGTTTAAAACAAGCATTAAACTTACATTCGTCTCTATAGTTGAAATGCATTAAACTCACATTCGTCTCTATAGTTGAAATGTCAAATTCTTTAAAAATAAAAGATATTCAACGTTATTATATATGTTGTTGAAAATTAAACAACATATGCAGAAGTCAATTTTGATCCTTTTAAAAATTGATTATTTTAATATTCTATATTTCAATTCTAAGAAATAATAAATTTGAGAAAATCCGCCAATTTTTGTGTTTTTTTTCAGAATATCACAAAAAAATTTAACATTTAAAGTAAAAATCTAAAAAAGAGAACCTTCTTATATTTTTATTTTGGTTAACTTGAGATTATAGAATTTGAAACAAAATTTGGATTTATAAATGTTTAAGGGTAGCACAATCACAAAGTGGTTAAAGTTTGTCAAATTTCGCGAAAAAACGGCTAAATTTAAAACTTTGCGCCCTTGTGCGTCATCCATCACAAAAAAATGTATGTATAAAACAATATCTTCGCACCTTATAAGCTACCACTCTAGTCGAAAAAAAATATTCGACCTCAGTATGAACCAACTTACTACACCTCTTTCATTTTTCGTGATCACTCCCTTTAAGAACACGAATACTTTAACCAAAGGCTAGTTTTTCGAAAATAAACATACAACCAAATATTTTTGTAATTAAAAGTAATTTTTACGAAATTTGTTCAAACTTGTTTTAAATTTGAATAACATTGTTTGCGATATTTAAAGAATTAACAACAAGTAACTTAGAATTATTTAACCTTTGTATAACTCTTCTACTATTTTAGTGTTGTGTATAAACGGGCTCACTGTGACTAAAAGTGAAGGAGTTTTATCTTCACTAGATGAACCAGCAACACTAGGGAAGAATACCTCTATCCTTTTACTAGATTGGAAACCCAGCTTGGTCAGGAATTTTTCAAATAATTTTTTTCAAAATTAAAATCAACCCACTCAGCTTAGAATTGTTAAACCAAGAAAGAACATTCCCGTGGTTCTATCGAGTTCCCGAATCAAAATTTGAGGCAACTCGGCCAAGAGGTTACTTAGTAAAGATCAGACATCCCAACGGACAGACAAACAGAGATTACTACTTTATATAAATAGAATAAATATATTTACATAGAGAGAGAGAGTGTTCTTTTATTGTAGTATATACACCCTACCATACGTCAGTTTTATACAGTGATAACTAGAGAACAATAGAATAGTTAGATGTTATAGCAATACTGAAGTGTATTTGATGTTGTTAAAAAGCAAATAGGATTTTTAAAAGTTATATCTTGATTCTAAAAGTAGTCTTTCTATTTCAGACTTTTCTGGTTATCACTAAAGACAGGTCCACAATTTGGTTTAAGATTTCCTAAAAGTGTCTTTGCTAGATGTTGTCTTAAAGCTTTAACTGAAAATCAAATATATAAATTTGCATTTGAAAAATGTTTGCGCTAATTGGATTTTAACAGAAATGTTGTTATTTTACCAATATTGCATTAGGTGAAAAACTAGGACAGAAAACACAATATTATTAAATTAGCTTATAAGGTAGATAAATCGTGGAATATTAAACATGTTTTAGAAATATTTTACGCCCCATTTCGGTATGCCAAAATTGCAAAATTATGTGCGGGAAACCCCGCGAAAACATGTCAGCTTATTATATATGTAAATAAAGTTGTAATCTCTGTTTTTCTGTCCGTCTGTTTGTTTGTCCGATGATAACTCAGGAACCCCTGGACTGATTTGCCTCAAATTTTGATTGAGGAACTCTGGACACCCACAGAAATGTTCTTAGCCTGGTTTTGAAGATTTTAAATTGAGTGGGTCGACTTTGATAGCGAAAATTTTAATTCCAAGAAAAATCGTTAAGTGCGGGTAAACGGCGGGAGTAACCCGGGCAGCCCGGGGTTCTCAAGTTAGTTCTATATAATACACTTTATAAATATTCTTCTCACACCCCCTCCTCTATTTGTAGACAATTCCCTCTGGAATATTAGTATAAGGGACTGTATACGGAATTGCAAGCGGCAATCAATTTAGAAAGGTGCATGCTTAGATGAAGAAATGATACCCTGAAAACCTTAAAAATATCCAATTTATAATTAGCTATTTAAAAATCACTTTACGCATTAGACAGAATATGAAACTGCTTAAAGCAGGAAAAACGACATCAGTATTCAGTATCATTCTTATTCTAATAAAGGTGCAAAAACGACATCAGTATTCAGTATCATTCTTATTCTAATAAAGGTGCAAAAGCCAAAATTCCAAATCATGAAGCTGATCAATTGAAATTACGTTTACAGTCCCTTCCAGCAGAGGAATATGAAAGGGATTCTTCAATAGAATGTCAAGTGGATAATCTAGTAGAGTTCTGCAGCTTTATCAGGTCAACCTGTATATTTATTCACTATCCATACACCCTGTAAATAGAATACATATTAGAGTATACACCCGGTATACACTAATACTAATTCTTTATACACCCTTTAAGTTTATAGCTCCACATGGGCTCCACAATTTTCAAATTTTACAAAATTTTGTATTTTACAAGTATGATTTTATTGCACACAACTATCTTGGGAACCCAGCTTTTCCTGGAAACTTAATATTCCTTTTAGCAAGGCTTATAAGAACATTTTTCGAACAAACTAAATCTCCTAATCAGAACTTGAGGCAAATCTGTCTAGGGGTTCCTAAGTTATGATCGGACATCTTTGAAGGAATTTATCACTGCTAGATGGCCTAGGACGCTCAAAGGAATTGAGTCTTTTGAACAAAATCAAATATTTAGACCTTAATATCTTTTGAACTCGATGTTGTAAACCTTTGATATTTCAAACTCAGATTATTAGATCTAACAGAATTCATAGTTTGAAATATCTAAGGTCTACGACATTTAGTTCCAAACATATAGTGATTATAAAATCAGAGTTTGTGGCAAAGACTTAATTCCTTTTCTGGCTTTTCTAACTAACACGTATTCCCCATACTTAAGGCTAAAAGCTGGGCTTTTATACATACATACTGCCTAATTTCTTAGGCATACTCCCTAAATGCCTTATTTTACCTACACAAGACTAAATCTATATTTAGACCTACTTCCGATCATTGGATTTCAACATTATATAGCATTTTGGAAAGCCTATAACAAAAGCAAGCAAATTGCATAATTTGTGCAAAGAAATTTTGCACAGATTTTTGCACAGACGCCTTTACAGGGAATTTGCACATTTTCAGTTTTTCTTAAATACACATTTAGGTTTTAAAGTTTTGCAAATGTTTTTGCATATTTGAATTCGCTGGGTCAAATAAATATTTGGATTTTTGCAAAGGAATTGAGTTTTTGTCACGAACTCAGATTTTCTTGCTAACCAATGTTGTAGACCTTAGTTATTTCAAGCTATAAATTCTGTAAGATCAAATAATATAAGTTTTAAATGTCAATTAGGTTTACAACTTCAGATTGAAAGATTAAAGGGATTAGAAAATTTGAGTTTATGGCAAAGACTCCTTTCCCTTGCCATTTTTGAAGTAGATCTTAAGGACTTTACACAAACGTATCGAATGTTATAGATTTGTATCACAATAAAAAAATAGAGGGGGTGGGAGTCAATTTGAGGTTTATGTTGTTATTTTTAAGTTTTCTGGTTTGTTTTTGATAAAAATATAAGTATTTTAACACCTCGTCACTACGTTCGGTGTGAAAATACTTTCATTTTTTATCTTAAATAAACTGGAAAAAATAAAAATCCCGGCGATAACTTGTACGCTCTTAATAAATGTTAAAAATAAAACTAAGCACTCTTACAAACATTTAAATTTCACAGCACGTGCTAATTTCTCAAAAGTTATAACATTATTTTCTGAAGCAGAATTAAGACGGAAAACCCCTCTTTTCATTTGAAATAAATGTCGCCTTTATCTCTTTTATTTGATTGGATCTTTTTCAAAATTACAAGAATTACAACTTTTACCATCTCGTTGCTTTAAAATAAATTCACCTCTGCAAAAGACATTTGTCGCAAAATAATTTGGGGCCAAATTAGAAACTTTGTATCTAGAAAACTTTGAAAATAATATGTTTGAATTTGATTTGAGACAGTACTACAAATCTTATACTTCTCTGAAAATTTCGGTATGCGTTTACTATTTTCAGGATATTATAGGCATTCCTTACATTCAGTTTCATCATACCTTGGGACTTTCAGCGTAATTTTTAGTAACCCTACTTGCAAAGATGGCAATGACCGAAAACAATGGTACCCTTGAAAGCTTTTTCTAATCAATTGTTATTTAGATATCAATGTTTTAGTTCCTTTAAATTGTGTTTTTGCGGTCTCTCGGCGAAAGTGAATTAATTGCGCATTTCTTATTTATAAAATACAAATTTGGCTTGTCTGTGTGTTTGTTTGTCTGGGTGTCTGTTTGTTTGTATCCAATAAACGTCAAAACGGCTGAACCGATCGGGCCCAGTTTTTTTTGTGGGACATCACGTGACCACAGGGAATGATAAAAATTTAAAAAAAAATTGTTTGAAAGGTTTTTAATTTTGTAAAAAAATTTAAATTCTTGAAAATCCGCGAATTTTTTTAAGAATCCGCAAAATCTTTTTCTTCTTTGTTTAAAACATAAAAAAAAGAACATGTTCACAATTTAAATAGAAGATGGGCGCGAAGCGCTCTAAAAACCTAGTATTTATAAAAGGCAGCTGCAATAAAGATCGAGATTAGGTGTCAAGGGTAATGTTGTACATTGGCCATTTCCATCTTTGCACTTTAAATTACCATTGGTTTGAACGACCAACTCTGTTTGTTTACAGAGTGTACCATCTAATGAGTGACCATGAAACAAATAGAATGACCAGCCCCCCGCCTACATTTTTTACTTTTTTTTAAACACCGCCCAACTGCTGGACCGTCCTCTACCATATTCTATGCATAAAAAAACAATATTTGTTTTCAATATATAAGTTTAAGAAAAAACACAGGGGGGTGGAAGAGAGTTAAAAAGTTAGTACAATAATTACTTGTTTAACATTATAATGTTCTTATCACTTTATCGTTTCAACCTAATGGTGTAAATTCTTGACTTTTCAAAAACTTTCCTTATTTGATTTAACAGAATTCATAAACTGAAAAATCTATCTAAAAAGATTTTGGTTTTAACAAATTCGAATTCAAAGCGATTAATCAATCAGATTCTTTATCAGTCTATTTTAAGAGAAAATTTAGCTTTCGTAAGGTATAATCTTTCAAACCATTAAAGCTCTCAGATTGCAATAAAGGACAGGATTTATTTTTTAGAACTGTAATGTTTTGTATTCTTATAAACTCTTTATCTTATTTCTTGTTGGTGTAGCCAGGAATGGTTTGATAAATCTAGGGAATCTAAATCCAACTGAGTTAGGAAGATAAATTGTTATAATTTTCCACTGTCTGATTCTGCAAAATCCCCCCCCCCCCACTTACTCTCTGCTACTCTCCCTTACCTTTTTTTAATTGACCATTCTCCAGTAAAAGACTTCACGGTGGACTAAGCCAGTGGGGTCGGTCAAATAGGCCTAGGATTAGGCCGGGTACTGTAAAAAGTCTGAACGCGCCATGGGAGTTGTCATAGTTAGCCCTCCGACGAGACTATGCCAAGAAAAGTGACCTCTGTCGTATGTTAGTCTGGTTAGGATGACGTACTGTACCATAGGATCGGGTCAGTACACGCTGTTATCTGGCAGGCCGGTACAAACTGGGCAGGTCCTGTTCGAATTCAAAATTACTACGGCCCAGAGTGACTTGAATAGACTATAATTTTCTTATTTCTTTGTCCCAGGCATTAGTATACTTTTGACATTGAAGAACTGAAGAAGAATGATCCACCCCTTTTTCTGCTTAGAATTTTAACTTTTATATAGATGAATTTAAAACAATTAAACGACCAGTTCTACAGATTTTCGTGTTTAATTGATGAATTGAAGACCCCTTTAAATTCTCCTTTTCTAAAATGCCTTAATTTATATTAAATCTTATTTTGAAATTGAAAGGTGTTATTACTTTTACCACATAAGCAAAACATGTGATAAAATTATTATTTTAATCCGTTCAAAATATTCCCTAAACTTGTTTTTGAGACACCCTGTAGTTGTGTTGTAGGTAGCTGTGTTGCTTTACAGTGTGTAATCTGAGGATAAAGGAATCCACTACATCTACTCCTTCAGATAGATATAGAGATGGTTAACTTAAACAGTTTTTATCAAATAAGTAAAAGTTAGTAAAGCCTACCATTGGTCGGGGTTCTACCCCTCTCCCTTTGTGTTTTTTTGTTTTAACTTTTGTTTTAACTTTAAAAATAGGTCACACATAACGCTCAAACTTCTTGAACCCTATACCTTTAAAGGGAGTGACTGGCTATGTTAGGTAGTTGAACTGAGTAATGAGAATGCAGTGTTGTGGAAAAATTCTTTCGGATTCATTTGAGACCTATTAAACTTTTTAAAGATCTGCAAATTCTGAGTTTGAGCGCAAATTCGACGTTCAAAACTCCTACTTTGGGGGTGGATACGTTTTCAGAATTAGTTTTTTTTAAATTATTAAATAACGACAACGAAAAAAAAGTAAAAATTATACAGTAATCTAATTAGATGGTTCGGAACATATTTCTCAGAAGAAATTTGTCAATAATTCAATACTAAAATCGATTATTTCGTTTTCATTATTATATTTAATTTCTTCAAATTCTTCAAATGTCGTCTTTTCAATAATAATTCTAGAAAATCTGCAAAAATGAGAAACCAGAATAGTGATAAAATAGAAACTAATAATTGAACAAGATTAATTATTTTCGATGATAAGATAAATTTTTATTTTCTCAACATGTTCCTATACCTGACGTCTGTAGTTTATTGTAGAACTTTTTTTACATTTTATGTCGTCGTTATTTAATAATTTAAAAAAAAACTAATTCTGAAAACGTATCCACCCTCAAAGTTTTAAACGTCGAATTTGCGCTCAAACTCAGGATTTACAGATCTTTAAAATATTTAATATGTCTCAAATGAATCCGAAAGAAGTTTTCCATAACACTTCACACTCAGTTCAACTACCTTACATAGCCGGTCACTCCCTTTAAGGTCTAATTTTTCTTTTACTGAAATGAACTATGGACATGACATGGTTCATTTGGATGAATATAAAAGTCTACGTGTGTCAGTTAATTTTTAACAGTGATTTACATTCGATTAAACGGAATTGATCTTAAAAATAAATAAAAATAAAAAAATCCATTTTCTAACGGAATTTTGCCCAGCCCTACAGAGAGAGAGATTTCCACTCAACTGTTTCAAATTCACACACATTCAGGAGAATTGGAAACTCTGAAGAGAATACTTTAAACTGGAGATTCAATAGAATAGAAATAAATAATTCAACCCCTCATGCATAAAAATATATTTCTAATATATAAAAAGAGATTTTTTTACGTACTTCTTTGTTTTGACGTCAATTGTTGGAAGAAAAATATTTTTTTATTTATAATCTGTTAAATCTAAAATATTTTTAATTGAAATATGGATCTTAAGTCTACAAGGTGGGATTAGCAATGTTTTTTTAGAAAATATTCAAAATTGTGGTTTGTTTTGACAGAAAAAATGATGGAAAAAAATTCCGCGAAACCACTATTTTTGACAAAATTATATACTTTATAACTTTGGGGGTTAACATACCATTAATAATTATAAGAGATTTTCCATATAAAATTATTTAAGAGTTAATCCCTAATCCCTAAAAAATTTGGTTATTAGCAAAAAAATTTGCGAAAACAAAACGTGCTCAAACAATGATAAATTATACATTTTTTAAAAGCCTTTGACCAAGCGAATTCAAGCATGCACAAATATTTTCAAAATTTGGAAAACTGATTGTGTATTCAAGGAAACTTCCCTTTACCCTTTGCAAAAATCTATGCAAAAATTCCTCGCAAATTAAGCAATCTACTTCTTTTGTTGAAGTCTTTCTAAAAAGCTATAAAATGCTGAAATCCAATGACTTGGAGTAGGTTGCAGTTAGATTTAGTCTGAAATAGGTAAAATAAGGTATTCAGGCAGAATGCCTGAGGAATCAGGCAGTAGGTATAAGCCTAAAAGGGGCACGTGTTGGCTAGAAAAGTCAAATAATGTGAGCAGCCTCAAACAAATCAATTTTGAGTTGGGTTAACAATAACAGTGTGCATTCCCTCAAAAAATTACATATATAGTTCTAACCTCAGACTCCAGAGATTTGAGCTGAGATGAAAAAAAACAATATTAGAAATAAATCCCTCCGATTTATTCTTCTAAACTAGTATCTTGCTGACACCATAGATAGGTCAGCTGTCAAATTAAAGAAGCAAACTTATCCCCCAGGGGATTTTATATTTGATACTGGTTTATTATAATACTTCAGGGCTGATATTGCACAGGTTGAACCAAGAAAACAAAAAGAAAATATTATTTTTTCTTCCATGACTTATTCAATAGAAAAGATATATTTGGAAAGAAGACTCCAATTGAGAATCACGACTGAGTCTATTGTAATACTCCTAAATGAGGTCTCCAAGGACCACAATGGGTTTTCCTCTAAAAACCAAATGAAAACTTTTGAATATTATTTTCAAGAAATTCTTGAACATTTTTTGGTTTCTGACTTCTGAGCCCCGGAAAAAAACTTGCTGATATAAGACTCAGGTCTGAGATGTCATTGAGACTAATTTTAGATTCAATGGTTGAATTGATTAGAATAAGACTCGACATTTAGATTAATTCTTTACTAAAACCAACCATGTTCGGTTTATATTCATTGGGCCTAACTCCGTAAGTCGAGCCAAAGATCTTGCAGTTGTCAATCACGTGACACATGCTGTCGTCAGAGTTGGATCAACGATTGAACCAAAGTTTTTAATCTCTAAATGTAGATTCATTTAAAATTACGTTGACAATCTTATTTAACACTTTCATTACTTCAGGCCAGATAAGCTTGAAGTTTGCCAGAACGGACCAAACAATGATCTTGTTGGTAAATCATGTATAAATGATGACTCAGTTCAAGTACTGGTAAGTGTAAATTGTAATTTATCCCCATCCCACGGTAAATTAGAGGTTGAAAGTCCTTAAACGTCGTATGTTTAAACCCACTTTCACCCGTTAAATGAATGTTCTTTCTTCTTTTTCATTCTAAATATTAAATATGTAAAGTCTTTAGGCTTTTTTGACAGATTTTGAATTATAGATCAAAATATGTCATTCAAAGACAGAACTTCGGTTGAACTAGATGTATGTGCCAATTATTATTATTATCACCAATAATAAGTGGATCCAATATTTCAATTATTATTATTATCCCCAATAATAAGTGGATCCAATATTTCAATTACAAAACCTAACAATATTCTGAAAATAGCCGAAAAAAACCTTATCTCAGTTGTATGGGGTTAGATCATCTTAGCCGAAGCATTCACGGGGGGGGGGGCACTGTGGCTAGATTAGGCATTAAGAAAATTACATTTTTTTCAGACGGGAGGTTCCAGTTGTAAGCTGAACATCACCCGAACGAAAGAACACCATTTTGGAAAATGGGGTTGCAAGGCAATATTTGTTAACAAAAAATTGATAAAGGGGCTATTAAAGTTATTCTACATTTTGCATGCCAAATTCAAAATGGCATCCTAAAAACCTAAATTTTGGGGGTTCAGTTATGTTTCTGTTTTTCTGCAAACACTGGTATGTTTGATTTCAGGGAAATCTGCTGTTACATATATAAAATTCCCATGTTTGAATACAAAGAAAATCCATTCATATATATTCACGGGTTAAACAGATCTAAAATTTTATTCTCTTTTCCATTAATCCATCAGCTGTCAAAATCCTTTTCATGTGAGTAAAAAGGATTATTTCAAGTAATGTATTTTATGAAGGCAGAACTGTTGTGTTGTAAGAAACGGGATCAATCATTAATCTCAAACTAATCTTCGGATTAATTTAATTCTACTTCAATATTCCGTTTTTTAATCTTAAACATTCATATACAATTCAAACAGATTAGCGTTAATATGGTCAATTTCAGTGTGAATAAAATGATTTCACTCATCGTAATTAATTTTGCTCTTTACAATGAATTTAATTCAAAATGGCCATATATAAAAGTTTCTACCATCGTAAAATAAAAATATTTTTTAAATTGATTGAAGTGGTGATTGATGATTATTTACAACTACCTTACAAGAAAGTTACGGGAATTTACTTTGTTAACGGTCTAAGACCAATGTTGCCTGCAAAACATCCAAAGTGCAGCGTAGTTCAGTAAAATCTTCTTTAAAAGTAGTTTTTCACAAAAACCTCTCAGAGAAAGTCGTTACCAAATAGTTCCAAGGGACGTTTAGTTTCTTAACGTCCCCCTTTTGGTGGAATCATTGGTTGGAGATATTGTTTAGATGGTAGTACTTGTAACTTTTCCTAAACTATTTAGCTGAGGATCATGGTATAATTTAATAAAAGTAAACAAAGTTGTCTGATCTGCAAGGCTATGTTCTGGGACGAATGGGCAGAGAGTACATTAGATCTGGGAACTTTTAAAATGGTAATCATTTATTTTCAAACATAAATATAGATTTACTGAAAACTGAAAGACTTTGGAAAGTTGTGATTTATGTCTGAAACCAAATCAGTCCAATTAACAAGATCTAAACTTATTAAAGTTCAAAGCATTCACAAATAAATTGGATTAAAACTAGTCTGCCAGGGGAACTTTGAATGCTAATTTTAAACTTTTAATTGATTCCAATTTATAGACTTGTCAGACATTTCAGATTTTTAGCTCGAGTTGTCTACATTTTTAAATGATATTTAATTGGTTACACTACTGATAAGGTTTACTATAAACAACAAATTAAATAACTAGAAGAAAACATGTCTACTTTGAGTTAAAGAAAACATCTAGAAAACTGTTGTAATGTAGCATCATCATGAAAAACAGCAAGAACAAGAACCAAAAAAACTACAATGGTTAAAAGAACTATAATAATAATAAAAATAGCAAAAACTACAAAAACATCTAAACTCCAGACTGCTAAAATATGAACTACAACACACCTTAAAGCACCACAGCATCATTTTTTCAGGAGAAATATACACCAAACCAAACAAAAAGAAGAAAGAAAAATGGGAAACTCAGAAAAACGAAATCGACATCAACAATATCAGCAATATTACCAACATCTACAACATTAACAGCATCAACAACATCAATAACATCAACAACATCAACAACATCAACAACATCAATAACATCAACAACATCAACAACATCAACAACATCAGCAACATCAACAACATCAACAACATCAACAACATCAACAACATCAACAACATCAACAACATCCACAACATCAACAACATCAACAACATCAACAACATCAACGACATCAACAATTTTATCAACAACAACGTCAATATCATCATCGTTGTCAGCAGCATCAAAATTGATAACAACAAAAACTAAAACAATAACAACTTCAACCACAACAATAACAACAACATCAAAAATAATAGTAAATATGTCACCATCAACAACAAAAACAACAATCAAACTTTTGAACTATTTAGTATTTACACCAGAAAATACGAATGCTCCTAATTTTTCAACAACATCACTTTTTCAGGAGATCAATGCAAAAAAACCACAAAGAACAAGATCAAGAAAAAAGGGGAAACTTAGAAGAACAAAAGCCTCAACAACAACTACAACAACAACAACAGCAACAACAAGATCAACAACAACAACAACAACAATAACAACAATAACGAGCACATCAACAACATCATCGACAACAACAACAACAACAACAAAAACATCAACAACCTCAAAAAAAACATCAAAAACATTAACTACAAGCACTATAAAAACATTAACAACAACAACAACATCAACGACAAAAATAACACCACCACTAACAACAACAACAACTACAACATCAACAACAAAAATACCACCACCACCAACAACAACAACAACAACAACAACAACAACAACAACAACAACAACAACAACAGCAAAAAATATAATAATAACAAAAACAACATCTACAACGACAACTAACTTGTATACTTCTTTAACAACAACAGAAAGAAGAAAAACAACTGTACCCCCAAGAAGAAAAGCCACAGTGAGGCCAAAAACAGCAAAAGCAGCATCAAAAAACACTTTCAACAGAAATCAATCAAAAACTCTAGACTCGGATAAAACAGAACGGGATTTTTACATGAAAGTAAGTTAATGTTTGAAGAGCGTGTTCGCCAAACAGAAAATACACTTGAGCAATCATTTTTACGAATTTGAAAATACAACTTTTCCAATTTTAACGTTTAAAATTTTTTGACTTGAAATAACCGTAGCATTATAGGCATTTTTATCATTATTTGGACTCCTCAATATAATATTACAGGGTGAACTATAGAACTAAAAGATGTGTGGGGAACCTAAAAATGGAGATATAATATTACAGGGTGAACTAGAACAAAAAGATGTGTCGGGAACCTAGAAACTAAAAATATGATATTACAGGGTGAACTAGAACTGAAAGATGTGTGGGGAACCTAGAAACTATAAATATAATATTTCAGGGTGAACTAGAATTAAAAGATGTGTGGGGAACCGAGAAAGTGAGGAACCTAGAAACTATAAATAAAATATTACAGGGTGAACTAGAACTGAAAGATGTGTGGGGAACCTAGAAACTATAAATATAATATCACAGGGTGAACTAGAACTAAAAGATGTGTGGGGAACCGGGAAACTATAAATATAATATTACAGGGTGAACTAGAGCTGAAAGATGTGTGGGGAACCTAGAAAATATAAATATAATATCACAGGGTGAACTAGAACTAAAAGATGTGTGGGGAACCTAGAAACTATAAATATAATATTACAGGGTGAAATAGAGCTAAAAGATGTGCGGGGAACCTAGAAACTATAAATATAATATTACAGGGTGAACTAGAGCTAAAAGATGTGTGGGGAACCTTGAAACTAGAAACCGATATTCAACAGACACTGTCTTGTCTACTTACTCTAGGTAATAAATTATGAAATAATAGCTTGGAAGGCGCTTCTCAGATTTCCTTGTTTTAGTGGTGGATTTCCAAATTAGAAATATTCGATATTGTTTTAAACAGAAAAATTGGGTAGTTGCCACTAACTCAATTTTTCTAATCCCTATTTATTTATTTTAAACCTTTGATATTTCATACGTAGATTATTACATATTTGAAATATACATAGTTGAAATATTAAAGGTCCTGTCCAAAACTTTCTCTAGGGAATTCCCAAATATTTGTTAATAATAAAGTAAATTATAATGAGAAAAAAAAACACAATTTATAAGAAAGATTGTTAAGCTTGAAAAAAAAACATGCAAATACAAATAAAATGCTTTGATGGAGATATCCTACTCTTTTTTTTAATTTGACAAAAAATAATATTTTAGATGACCCTCTTGAGTCTGGGTTCGAAGGAACCATATTAAACTGGGAGCTTGGAGATATAGAGGATAGAATACAGCTCACAGAAGCAGTTCTAGAGGTAAAGTCAGCTATTTTTGGTAAGCAGATTGTTAAAAAACAAATATTTGGTAAATCAGTATGTAAAAGTTCTATGGTTAAAAAACAATTTGTTAACAATTTTCTTGCTAAAAAATCATAACAAACATTTCAAATATCAAATTGATTAAAAACTATAAAATGGGAATTTAGGTAAAGTCTTATATTTGTTACATCGCAGTATAAAAGTTCTTTAACATCTTGTCCCTCAAATTGTATTCCATGTTAAAAAAGTAGAAAAAAAACTTTGTAATTAGAAAATAAATTAAAAAGGAAATTTATTTACCAAGCTAATTTTTTTCCAAATGATCTGGTTTTAATGACAAAAAAAAATGTAAATTTTTTTTAGATGAGGAATGGAAGAACAGAATTTGAAAGGAAAATACATAATATTAACCTAACTTGTATTTTTTACAAAATAAGAAACCTGCTGTTACGTTCTTATTACTGGGTCGACTTTGAAGTGTTACAATGCCTTAGCCAATTATATAGTCCTAGACAAATATATCTAAGAATAAATATTCACTTTGTTGCTTAATTTTTTAAGAATTAATTGGCAAAATTCTCTTCGATTTTTTTGTGATAGCTTGCAATCTTGGATCAATTTAACGTGCTTGGAAGCAATGTTTCTAAAATCTAAATGTTATTAAATTTAATTTTGTGAAATATGAACTGCAGTTTCAAATTTTGAACATGAATTAGTATATTTTTAAGAAAATAATTTCAAAGAAATTTGAATATATTTTATTAAGATTTAAAAAAAACTATGGAAATTGTTCTTCATTGTTGGTTTCAAATTTATTAAAAACACTGTCTAAAAAGAACTGTTTGTGGTACGGTGGTAGGCGATAATACCAATATAATGAAGACGACTTTTTAAAAAAGTTTTTGTTATTAACAAGCTTTTTTCCGAATTACAATTTTACAAGTAATTAAAGGGAAGCTTTTTTCAAAAACTGCTTCTTTTTGTTTTCATTGATTTGAGTAGTCATGTTGTTTAAAAGCTTGATATAAATCAAATTTGAAACCGAAAGTCGTTTTCATCATATTGGTATTATCGCCTACCACCGTACATAAAGAACCCTGGAGGAACCAGAACGAGATGCTTTTGGTTAAGAGATTGCGTTTTGGTCTGAAATCAAACAATCTTTACACTTTGATTTGTTTCAATCAAAACGCATCGTCTGACAAAAAAAATTAAAAACATTACAAAATACTACAAATTTTGGCAATTTAGAGAAAAATTGCTCGAAAATAGATATACATAAATGTCACTATTATGATATTTGATAGTACCCTACAGCTAACCCCTACACAGGCGGATGATGGAAAAATGTTGTATTGCTCTTCAGGAGTCACTGGAAAGGTATTAGTTGAGATTTTTTGCACTTTATCCTTGCAGATTTTGAAGAAAAAACAAAATAAACAATTGAATATTTCTATGGACTTAATGAATTCACCTTCTATACCCTATCTAACAATTAGTTTAGTAGATTAACTGAAGTTCTGAAATTAAAAAAAACATTTAAATATTTTCTCTCATCGGTCATCTTTAAATATGTTCTCTCATCGGTCATCTTTAAATATGTTCTCTCATCGGTCAACTTTAAATATTTTCTCTCATCGGTCATCTTTAAATATGTTCTCTCATCGGTCAACTTTAAATATGTTCTCTCATCGGTCATCTTTAAATATGTTCTCTCATCGGTCATCTTTAAATATGTTCTCTCATCGGTCAACTTTAAATATGTTCTTTCATCAGTCATCTTTAAATATGTTCTCTCATCGGTCATCTTTAAATATGTTCTCTCATCGGTCATCTTTAAATATGTTCTCTCATCGGTCATCTTTAAATATGTTCTCTCATCGGTCATCTTTAAATATTTTCTCTCATCGGTCATCTTTAAATATTTTCTCTCATCGCTCATCTTTAAATATTTTCTCTCATTGGTCATCTTTAAATATTTTCTCTCATCAGTCATCTATAAATATTTTCTCTCATCAGTCATCTCTAAATATTTTCTCTCATCGGTCATATTTAAACATTCTCTCTCATCGCTCATCTTTAAATATTTTCTCTCATCGCTCATCTTTGAATATTTTCTCTCATCGGTCATCTTTAAATATTTTCTCTCATCGGTCATCTATAAATATTTTCTCTCATCGGTTATCTTTAAATATTTTCTCTCATCGGTCATCTTTAAATATTTTCTCTCATCGGTCATCTTTAAATATTTAATCTCATCGGTCATCTTTAAATATTTTCTCTCATCGGTCATCTTTAAATATTTTCTCTCATCGCTCATCTTTAAATATTTTCTCTTATCAGTCATCTATAAAAGTTTAACTTATTCAGTTCATTTAGAATCAACCAGCTCTTGTGACATGACAATGCCCCCATTTTAGATTAATTTGGATATTACATAAACAATATAAGAAAAAATCTAATGTGTAATACCATGAAATGATTAGGATCAGAAAAAAGACTAATTGCGGTTTGTATTTAATAAGTTTAAAATAGTTTTTGAAAGATGTTCGAAACAGCTCAAATAATAGGTCTTTTAGATATTTCAAATTGTACAAAAAATAGATAAATCCTATTATAAAAAGATTACATGCGCAAATAGTAATATGTTAAAAAAGCACATTTCAGCTTCTCCCACGGTCAGCTTTAGTGCTAGAACTTTTGAAACTTTGGGAAATTATCTTAAAGCCATGATAACAAATTCACCATTTTGATCAGCATGTATCTTTATGGATTTTTGAATGAGAGGCAAAGATAAAAATAATTTGTTTTCTATTTTTAGCCGGAAAAGGCCCTAATCTTAACAATTATGGGTCGATTTTGTAGAAAATAGTAAAAACCTAGCAGGAGCATTTACTAAACGAATTACCAAACCTGTTTATCATGATTGTAAGATAATTTGTAGATGTTTTGAAAACTCTATCTCTAAATCTTACCATGGGAAAAACTTAAATGGGCTTTTTGCATTTATTTCTTTATGCGCATAGAGCTAAATAACCAACAAACCAAGCCAATTTTTGCTATGTATTTCTTCTTCTTGGATGTACACATTAGATTTAGTTCTCGATGTGAATTAACCAATATTTGGTCAAGGAAAAACATAAAATGATCAGATTTTTTGTACAATTTGCTAAATCTATAATACCTAATATTTGAGTAGTGTCGAATTAAAGATTAAATAAGACAGTATTAATAGAGCATCCGATACTGTAGGATTTAAAGTATCAGTGTTCAATACCACTCTCATGTAATCTCTTCCTAATAGGATTTATCTATTCTCCAATACATGTATATACCATCTAATAAAAATTGGCGGATTTTCTTGCATAAACTTACATAATTCAAAATCCGAAAATCCAAGTAAAAAATTTATTGTTCGGAACAAAATTATAAGGTTCGTTAAAGAAATTTTTAGAATTTGATCACAGGTCCAAAAAAGTAAATAAACCATTAAATAAAAATCAGACAAACAAAAAAAAACAGAAAAATGTTAGACCCGACCTAACTTAATATGCATTTTACGTAATTTAAGAAAAGAAAAATGAAAAGAAAACTTTGCAAACAAGCAAAATTATCGTGACGTACAGTCTTGTTTAAAGGACAGTTTCGTTGAAAAAATGTTGAACATAAGGATTCTGTTTTAAAAAACCTATCGTGTCCAGACCAAACTGAGAGTTGGTTGAATATTGAGAAAGATTATGGTTTCTTTGATTTTTAGATTATGCATTTCTGCTGATTTTATGTTTTAGTTTGAATTTGAAGTTTGTTGATGTGACCTGGGAATAAGAGATGAATATTTTTCAGGAAAAAAATCAAAGAGAAAAATTTTTCCTTTCAAATTTATCAGAGTTCACAATTTTGAAAAAAGGGCTTATATTTGTGAAAAGGTACAGTCAGTCAACTGAACACTCGATCGCCACAAATTCTAATTCTCGAATCTCGAATCTCTTGGAAAGCACTCACCCAGTCTGGCTTCTAAGTTTAAAGTCTACCCAACACGTTTTATGCAACAAATGTTGTAAATATAAAATAAATCAAAACGTTGTGTTAGATATATCGAAATCGATCGAAAACCATCTATACAGGGAGATTGAGATATCACAGAAACAAATAAAATCAAACCTAAACACGTTTGATGCCAAGAACGGAATTAAGTTTTTTTTTTTCTATAAATTAAAGATCTTCGCTCATATAAAGATTTTTATGAACAATTCTTCGATTTTATCAAAATTCGAATTTTTTCTTCAAGAATTAATTTTTATGTCAAAAAATTTGTAATAGTGGGGCAACATGTTATCTTTTAAAATAAATTCTTCAGTTCATCAATATTTTTTTGCTGATGAAGAATGAAAAGAAATTTCTATTTAATATTTTCTATAGATCGGAAATAGGTTCGCACTTGTCTTGGATTGAAGTAGATGGGCAAAAGAATAAAAAAACACAAGACGTTAAAATGAAAATAAAAATAAAAATAGGACTGAAACCATTCAAACCCAATCTTAAAGGGACTGTAAAGGAAAAATTAATGGAGGTATAAGCTGAAACCTTAGAATCTCAGGAGTTGATTGAGACTTATAATTAAGTTCTATATGATGTTCATGTCTCGAGATATGGATATAAAACTGTGTCAAAATTATACCAAAACTTATATATGTAAGTCATAAATCATTTAAAATTCCTGGGGATGGGGGGGGGCTTCGTACATTCTCTATAGTTTTCATTTGACATCCAAGTCTAAGAATAGGGTTAACATTCTATACTGATTCTAACAATTATTGACAAAAATAAAGTTGTGTTGAAAATAAATTCGAAATACAAATGTACTTTTTATTTAATGTACACAAAAACTAAACTCGATGCTAAAGCATGCTAAGAAAGATTTTAGTAAAACTATTAAATTTTAACCAATCCAAGCATTTACCTTCTATAGATCTGTATTTTGCTTGTATATTTGTAAGTTTGTGTGTTGTATTCTATAAACGTCAAAACGGCGAAACTGATCGGGTACTAATCACGTGCATGAGTCTTACTTTTTGCATCCTAAAATTTTGAAATCCACAAATAAAAATATAAAAATCTTTAAAATTAATAGTTATCATCGGACAGTTTATTATAAAAACCTTTTTTGCATGGAAAAGTACAATTGAAAGCTAATAATAAAAATCTATAAAATAGCTAGCTGCGCAACGCCCTGAAAGGAAAATAACAAAAGAAAAGCTAGATATTACAGCAAACAGAATTATAATGTTACCCAAAGAAATACTAATTTTCCGCCAAATTGTTCAGTATTTGTAAAATATAGAGTTTAAAAGCTTTCATAGTTTAGAATCACTGCAAACTATGCAAAATGATTTCCCCTCTAGTTCTATTTTACGCACTAGTATGCGAAACGAACATTTATCTGATTGCATCTATTTAATGTAATAATGCAAGGAAAGTTAATTGCAGTTGCGTATACTCTGCGTACATATTGAAACCAGTTCTCTCTGGGCGGACTTTGTAAACAATAATGGATACATTAGTGTTCGTTTAGTATCCAGGGAGGTTCAAAGCATTTAATTTTGATAATTTTGAAAATTGACATAATAGTTTCCTATGACCAAAATATTTCGATAGATTATGTTTGTGAAAATGGATTCCATGTCAGGCTGTGACATATGTCTTGTGTTTACTTTTCCGCCCAAAGACAGTACACTGTAATACAAAAAATGAGTATACCTCTGAAATAACTTTCCTTGCATTAGTACCTTGCATCATTACATTACAGAAATTCAAAATAGTTTTGTTTATTCTTAATAAGAGGAATAATGGTTAAAAACCTGTAAGATTTCAATCTTACCTGGAATTTATTTTAGTTCGACGTGGAATATTCGGATGAATAATTGATCTTTCCGTTCAAAAGTGTTTTCAAAAATATCTATTTTACAGTTTGATCATTTATCTACCTCAAAGTTAAACCTTTAAAATGAAGAAATATAAATTTATAATATATGACGAAAAAGTTTCAAATATTATTTTGTATATACTATATATATGTTGCGTATAGCCGGCCAAACGGCTGGACCGATTGGGCTGAAATTGTTTGTGGACACTCATGGGTGGCAGGGGGGTGTTATAGGCTAAAAAATCAAATTTTTTCCACGGGCAACGCCGGGCCCTTCAGCTAATTTTATATATTACCGACATTAATTCTACATAGTAAATATACAGTAAGGTCCACACAGCCCTGAAATTTAAAAACGACATTTAATCAAATTGTTACATAAACCAAATAGTTTCAACAGTAGCTAAAAGTCGACTTTTTAATTGTAATAGTTTCTTTACACACAATTACTGGGCTTCAAGTTGAATGGACTGCAAGCCTTTATACTTTTCCACAGTTTTATGTGTATCACTGATGAAATGAAATTAATATCTCTTTGCAATCGTATTTCTTTTAAAAAATCTCAAATCCTTTTTTCAGGATGATTATGTGACCTTGGATCTGTTCAAATTCAGTTTTCCTAACTCGGAATCTATGAGGATTGTAGAGGGAGGGGCAGCAACTTCGACGATCCAATTCCAAGCTTATCCAAGGATACAATCTGACCAGGTAAGGAGGGAGGGGCGGCATCTTCAACGATATAATTCCAGGCTTATCCAAGGATACAGTCTAGGTGAGGAGGGAGGGGTGACAACTCATACTGTTCCGTTTTACCCATTGAATGGCTATCAAGATTCAAGAACTGAGATGACCGTTAACCCTATTAAGGCTGGGGGTCTATATCTATATATAGCCTGGGGGCGTACTACGTCCCACCCCTAAAAAAGGCCTTAGAGTAAAGGTGTACAGTTGCAATGCATGTGCATAGTCCAATCTTGCAAGGCCAGCTCTTTGAAGAAAAAAATTAGACCGTTAACTTTATTAGTTTGGTTGCTAGATATTATGAAAAAATTAGACCGTTAACTTTAATAGTTTGGTTGCTAGATATTATGAAAAAATGCCAGAAAAAAAAGAGTAGGAAAATGTAATTTTTTGTTTTGATTTTGGCAAATTGTTAGATGTTTCTTCATCCATTTTTTAAGGGCTTTAGTTTTAGATCTGTAGCTTTAGTCACAAAAAGTTATTGGTTATTTAATATATTTTTCTACATAGACCGAACTTTTTACATTATGAATTAAAAAAAACATGTTTTTACAAAACAAATCCTTTAAATTACTGTTCCTAATAATGTCAAAAACTGCTAGGGCCAAAAAACTAGAGGGATGGAGCGTCACCCCCCCCCCCCCACCTCCCTACAGTTCAAGGTATTTTATCAATGGTCATGTTGTACATCCTTAACCGAAATGTTTGTTCAGGTCAAACTTGAAGTACGGGAGAATAACGGTATAATGGTAAACACTATTCCTGCTGGACAAACTGCAGGTGACATTTATCATATAATTTTTAGGAAAAGGAACCTTTCATTTATAACCTCTGCGATGGTTTGTTTGTTTGTTTGTATCATATTATGGTCAAATTTTATTTACTAGGCTGTTAGGGCGCTTCGCGCCCATCTTCTATTTAAATTGTTAAAATGTTCTTTTTGTTTACATTTTAAAACAAAGAAGAAGAAAATTTTGCGGATTTAAAAAAAAAAGATCGCGGATTTTCAAGAATTTAAATTTTTTACAAAATTAAAAACCTTTAAACACATTTTTTATAATTTTTATCATTAATAAACCTTCCCTGTGGTCACGTGATGTCCCACAAAAAATTTGGGCCCGATCGGTTCATCCGTTTTGACGTTTATTGGATACAAACAAACTAACAAACACCAACCCAGACAGACAATCCAAATTTATATATAGATTTGCCTTGACAGATTTTCGATTTGTTAAAATCCACAAATCTTTTTTTTCCTAATATACTCTATTCACTTTTCTGAGTATAAAAACGAGTCATTTTTGAAAACTTTTTTCAATTTTTAAATATAAAATAAACATGATTGTGAGAGCATTTTATGATCATGGCAAGTCTTTACAATTTTCATGATCATATGAAGATGTTTTCATCATAATTTTCTACAAAAATAATGACAATCGGTTAACCCTAACCCCTCTGGGGTACTTGAAAACCAGGATACGCTGGGGGGGGGTCAATTTGACCCCCCCCCCCCCTCTAAATCCCATGTTTTATGTCCAAATATGACAAATGATACATCATTAGAAAGCTCTTGTGCTCTACTTTTAGAATCTGCAAAAAAAAATTTGCAAATTTGCGAAAATTGAATTTTTTATCGCAAAATCCAGTTTTATAGTAAAAATGTTTGCAAAAAAAAATTTGTCCAAAAAATGACAAATTATACATTTTTGAAAAGCCCTTGACCATGCCATTTCAAATATGCAAAAAATTTTTCAAAATTTTAAATAACCTGATTTTTAATCAAGAAAAACTAAAAATGTGCAAATTTCCTTTGACAGGTTGTTTGCAAAAAATTTGCAATTTTTTTTCGCAAAACTTGTGCAATCCGTTTCCTTATGTCATAGGCTTTCCAAAAAGCTAAATTTTATCAAAATCTGACAAGTGAAAGTGGGTCAAAACAAAGATTTAGTTTGCTACAGGCAAAAGCAGTCATTCAGGCAGTGTGCCTGAGGACTCAGGCAGTTAGTATTAAAGCCCGGTTTTAGGCCTAAAGGGAGGGCTTTGGGTATGTAAGAAAAGTCAGAAAATTTCAACAGCCTCAGACCAATACTTTTTGAGTTATGTAAAAAAAACTACAGGGGGGGGTCAAATTGACCCCCCCCCCCCCAGCGGGAATAGGGTTAAAAACTGTTATGATCATGGAATGCAGTCAAGGAATTAAGTATTTACCGCAAATCCCAATTTTCTAATACCTATGTCTACAACCCGATGATGTAAAACTTTGATATTTGAAATGGGAATTGCTTAAACCATCAGAAGTCCTATGAAGAATATGGGTTTTTAAAATTTTTCAAATCAGAGTTTGCGACAAAGACTTAATTCCTTCGCGAACATTTGTTCTTATTGTATGATAGTTTAAAAAGAGAAAATACCGAAATAAAAAATAAAAAATAAAATCGCACGTGGGCGTGAAGCGCCTAGAATAGATATAAGGAGATTTGAAAATGAACGTTTTGAAGATTTAACAGGTTAAATTTCACAATCTTTAATTTTGTCCAAAAGTTGGAAATTTTGAGAAATTTTCTATTTCATGCTTGAGTAACATTATAAAGAAGAAAATTGAGCAAATTCAACCCCCCCCACCCCCCACCCCTCCGTAACACACCTCCCTTCCCGTTTTACCTTCTATATTGTAACCTCTCCCCCCCCCCAGGGGAACTTTATGTTGTTAGTCAGCTTTGTATATTGTTTTTTTTTTGTTTTTTTAGAACAATCTATACGTTTCCTTAGTACAATTGCAGATATAAGAATTCGGAACATGATTTCTATAGAAAAGCAATTCTTTGAAAAACTCAATGCTAAATTATAATCAGCTAGTGAGAAAAAAATGAATTGTATGACCCCCCGCCCCCCTTCCCCATGTTCGTACGCTGTTAAATTGTGCAATGTGCAAATTTCCGATTTTTTTGCCTTTTCAACTATATTTCCATAAAATCGTTATATATTCTTTATCCATAATTGTCATATGGTTCGTCGGTCTGCATGCCCCTAATTTGGATATATATTTGGAAAAAGTCCATTAACCGACTTATATCCATATAATTTATCCCAATTTTTACTGGCAGGGATATTAAATTCATTTAATCTATTCTAATCTTAAAATCTATTTGAAGATGCACAATGCTTATCATATCTCAGAATCTTATATTTATCCGTGTATCTAGGAGAAGTATCTGCTTTTGTCTATCTAGGAGGAATATCTATTTCTATCTATCTAGAAGGAGTATCTGTATCTTTCTATCTAAAAAGAGTATCTATTTCTATCTATCTTAGACTAGCAGGAGTATCTGTTTCTATCTATCTAGTATGTAGTAGGAGAATCTATCTATCTAGAAGGAGTATCTGTATCTATCTATCTAGGAGAAGTATCTGTATCTATCTATCTAGAAGGAGTATCTGTATCTATTTATCTAGGAGAAGTGTCTGTATCTATATATCTAGAAGGTGTATCTGTTACTAGGAGGAGTAAGTGTTTCTATCTATCAAGTATGTAGTAGGAGAATCTATCTATTTTGAAGGAGTATATGTATCTATCTATCTAGGTGGAGTATATGTATATATCTATCTAGAAGGAGTACCTGTATCTATCTATCTAGGAGCATCTGTATCTATCTATCTAGGAGAAGTATATTTATCTATCTATCTAGGTGGAGTATCTGTGGATTATGTGGAGAACTTGGGAGGACGGAATATGCATTCTGTGGATGTTACCATAAATAACATTACTCAGGCAAAATAACAACAAATTGTTCTCTAACTTTGTTTCCATCTATTTGTATTCAAAACAGATGGAGGTGGGAGAAAAGAAAAAGAACAAGGAGGAAAAATCAAAGAAACTAGTTAATTTTTAGAAGAGAAAAAACAGGTCCCAGCACTATCTTAAGTTAAACTTAGTGCATAAAGCAGGGTAACAATAAAACCTAAATAATCCACTAAAATTATGATCATTAGACACAAAAATAGCTTATTAAGGAGATATGAAAAATGCTTGATTAAATTTTTCCGCATGACGTATAGTATTAATGGCAGATTAGAGATTATGAAAACAAATAAAACAAGGTTTACTTATGTGAAATTAACTTTCGTTTGAACTGGGGATTGTTATACTTCATTCATNATCTCCCCCTCCATGAATCTTTGATCTGTTATAGTTTGCTGATAAAGGAAAAAATTGAGAAATTGTAAGAAAAAATTGCGTTTAAGCAATAAAACATCTGCTGGCAGCCAAACCTGGAAACTGAAAACTTTGAACAAACAAAAATGGAATATATTTCTTGCTTTTGCCAATTCTCTGTTGCAAAATTCAACAGGTTTTTTGCAAACACACTTTCATTCCTTTTGCTTTGTAAGGAAACCTGTAAAAGAACTTTCTTCATTTCAATGAAAGTTTACACAGAGCTTTAAAACCAAACATAAAGTGAAAATATATTCTATAAAAAGATGTAAAAAGTTATTTACAAAGTTATACAATACACTGTGAGCTAATATCTACAATAGCAATTTAATCTGAACTAGACAAAAGGAGAACCTCAAATTAGGCGACCTCACTAGTTGGACTTTGTGACTTGTCTAGTTGATTTTAAGCGCAAATATGTAGGGATGGGCATATATTTAGGAATGGTGATATATGTAGGGATGGGCATATATTTAAGAATGGTGATATATGTAGGGATGGGAATATATATGTAGTAATGGGGATATATATAGGGATGGGGATATATGAAGGAATGGGCATATATGTAGGGATGGGGATATATGTAGGGATGGGAATATATGTAGGGATGGGCATATATGTAGGGATGGGCATATATGTAAGGATGGGGATATATGTAGGGATGGGAATATATGAAGGAATGGGCATATATGTAGGGATGGGCATATATTTAGGGATGGAAATATATGTAGGGATGGGCATATATGTAGGGATGGGCATAAATGTAGGGATGGGGATATATGTAGGGATGGGATATATGTAGGGATGGGGATATATGTAGGGATGGGATATATGTAGGGATGGGAATATATGTAGGGATGGGATATATGTAGGGATGGGCATATATATAAGAATGGGGATATATGTAGGGATGGGGATATATGAAGGAATGGGCATATATGTAGGGATGGGCATATATGTAGGGATGGGAATATATGCAGGGATGGGCATATATGTAGGGATGGGCATATATGTAGGGATGGGCATGTATGTGTTGATGGGGATATATGTTGGGATGGGATATATGTAGGGATGGGGATATATGTAGGGATGGGAATATATGTAGGGATGGGCATATATGTCGGGATGGGCATATATGTAGGCATGGGCATATATGTAGGGATGGGCATATATGAAGGACTGGGCATATATGTAGGGATGGGCATATATGTAGGGATGGGAATATATGTAGGGATGGGCATATATGTCGGGATGGGCATATATGTAGGCATGGGCATATATGTAGGGATGGGCATATACGTAGGGATGGGCATATATGTAGGGATGGGGATATATGTAGGGATGGGAGTATATGCAGGGATGGGGATATATGTAGGGATGGGAATATATGTAGGGATGAGATATATGTAGGGATGGGAGTATATGTAGGGATAGGGATATATGTAGGGATGGGCATATGTGTAGGGATGGGAATATATGTAGGGATGGGAGTATATGTAGGGATGGGCATATATGTAGGGATGGGAGTATATGCAGGGATGGGCATATATGTAGGGATTGGGATATAAGTAGGGATGGGGATATTTGTAGGGATTGACATATATGTAGGGATGGGGATGTTTGTAGGGATAGTGATATATGTACGGATAGGTATATATGTAGGGATGGCCATATATGTAGGGATGGGCATAGTTTTCAAAAACTATCTGAAAAATGATTGTTTTTAGCTTAATTTTGGTTTTTTTCAAAACTAACTATAACATTCGTTTTTGAAAAAAAAAACGATTTGTTTAGACTGATGAACCGTTAGTTTTTAGCTTTTTAAAAACAATAGTTTTGAAAACTACCCTTTTTTTGATTTAAACATATTAGAAATTTAAAAAAAAAATACTTCAAATATTTTTAAAAATGTTCAAAATTTTCAATATCTAAAACAAACATTTAAAATTCTTTGGAGTCGAAGGGATCCATTTTCAAAAAAATATTTTTTTTTTAAATTTCAAAAAAATTCCAATAAAAAACTTTCAGTTTCTTTTAAATTGTTATTTTTATTCCCAAACCGTTGTATTTTTATTTTTGAAAAAGATATCTAAAGATATCTAAAGGCTCGTTTTGAAAACTAAAGTTTTACGGAAAAATCATTTTGTTTTGTCTTCTTAATACTATCATGACTTAATTGCATTTCTTTCAAAAACGATAGTTTTCAGAAAGGATCATTTTCAAAACGATCATTTCGTTTCAGGTTTTTCCTTGTTGTCAAACTGCCATCCCTTCATATATGTGAGAGAAAAAAATTAATCTGATAACTTGAAATTCAAAACATTTTGTTCTTCTCAACAGATCTTCAATAAGATGACTTACAACTGGAAACAAGTTAGATTTTATTCTTCCGTGCAATTCACTTTAGGTTAACGTGATTTCAGTTTTTGGTTCAGAATAATTTTGATATTTTGTTCGATTCAGAAAGCTTCTAATTACAAGTATACAATAATCTACTCTACAGACGCTCAGGAATAACTTGAATAAAGACAAATATAAAAGTGTTCTTATCAGTAATAATAATGATAATAATAATAATAATAATAATAATAATAATAATAATAATAATAATAATAACAATGATAATAATAATAACAATAATGATAATAATAATAATAATATTGATAATAATAATAGCAAAAAAGTGAAATTTTTTTTTTAAGTACAAGAAAGAAATTGAAACTTTTTAGCCAGGGGCAGATACAGGATTTAAGTGGGGGTGCCAGATTTATTTCGGAACCAAAAAAATCCAGATTTATGAACAAAAGATATATATTTTTATATATCTTTAGATTAGGGATAATATAACTTTTAACAAAACTTTGAAAGCCTACAAAGTTAAGTTAATCTACAATCCAGGAATCAAAAAACCTTTCTTCAAACAAAAAGAACGTTATGAAGGAGCAGCTGAGGCTATAAAAGAAACTGTCTCAGTCACCAGAACTACTGGAGGATGTCAACAAGTGTCTGAGGGAGAACTTAGATAAAGAGAACTGGAAGGGGGCAAAGTCTGCAGTCAAACATTGCATCCCCTATTCTTTTCTTCCTCTACACCAATAAGGTCGGTCATCAACTCATGTTTTAGAACTCCAGAGGACTTTAGCCTGAATGACTGATTTGATTCTGATTCTAATGATATTGGAGATCTGAAAAAGATACTGCTAAACTTTAGGTACAGAGATTAATCAATTGTTGCAGACATATCCAAGTTTTTCTATTCATACCATCTGGGAGAAGAAGATCAAGCCATCATGGTAAAAGAGACTACAGGAGTCATTGGCTTTGGAGGGCTTGATGAAATAGAGTTTTGGGAAGCAGTTCAGTGTAGCTTGGGTTTTGGGGATACACCATCTCCTAGTGTTTCAACAACTGGAAGGAAGAAGTGGGCATTAAATAATACAGAGGACTCAAGAATCATCAATATTCTTACAAACCATTCGTTTGTTGATGATATCTTTGGATACTGTGGATATGAGGAAGATGCTAATACTGTAATGAAACAACTGGAAGAGGTGGCTGCCAAGGGTAACCTCATGATCAAAGAGTTCTTTGTCTCTAACCAACACCCTCAGAATGAAGATAGTAAATTGGTAGGAAATGAAGAAGCAAAGACGCTGGGATACAAATGGCTCTTATTTGAGGATATGCTGATTATTAAGAAAAACTTCTATATGGGAATAAAATAGAGAGGAAAGGCTACCATAGCCTTGACCATGGAGAACATATCCAAGAGAGGAGTGCACTATCTCTTCTAATGCAAAACTATGATATTCTATAGAAATACTACAGAGAAACACTTTTCATGTTACATAAACATGCTTAGCTACATTTTATATTTATGAAGACATTTTTTTAAGAATATTTTTTTGAGATCTAGATATTTATTATCTCCGTATCGAGATTATATTAATTGTACAAATTTGTTCACATGTATTTAATACAACTATTTTACGATACTATTGTGTACATATATTCTTAAATTAAATAATAAAAAATCATACGGATACATTTTATCGTTTTTTCCTTTCATTAGAAATTTGGATTTAGGGATACTTGGATCCTGCAAAACATACAAATTGAAGAGTGCAAAAATGACAGTTCATAGAATAAATTACATATAATTAGTCGGTGACGAAGATTTTTTAAGAATCGTCTGCATATAATTTGAGCATTTAATGTGGAAAATCAGATTGAGCAAGCATTCTAAAGTTTTTATGTAACAATGGTATACTGGCAATGTATGCAATATGGAAGAAACTACGATTGTACTGACGAAGAACATTGAAAGTTCGACGTAAGTATGGCATTCCATTAGTTAAACTTTGTCATCTTGATCCGATAGGTTCTCTGAGGTTCACCGCTCATTCGTCCTCCGGGTTTCAGTTTAACTAGGTAAAGAGAGAACCATGATGAAAGGAAAAAATTCGAGTCTGTCGGGGTTTTAATTAAGCATGTTGATGGAGTTCTAATTCTGGAGTTTTAAGTATCATTGGAAATCGAGGATTGGGTTAGAACATTGAACTATTAAGTAAGAACTTCGATTTTAGAATACTTTAATATCCTGGATGTTTTAAATCTGAAGTATCAAATTATAGATTAAAAGATGAGAAAATCTTTAAACTTAGACAACTGCCATGAAATACTTTAAATTGAAATTTTAATTGAATAATTTTAAATAGCATGTACATTGAGTCAAAACATTGAACTATTAAGTAAGAGCTTCGATTTTAGAATACTTTAATATCCTGGATGTTTTAAATCTGAAGTATCCATTTAGAGATTAAAAGATGAGAGAATCTTTAAACTTAGACAACTGCCATAGAATACTTTAAATTGAAATTTTAATTGAATAATTTTAAATAGCATGTACATTAGTTCTGGTTCAAAAGGGTTTCGACCTTTGGAATCCAAATTGATCCTTGTGCACGTCCCAGCTCTCTGTATAAAAAGGATTAAAAATTCGTTTATAATGAAGGAAATCTGCCAGTCTTCCAGGGGACTTATGGAAATATATTTTTTTACCGTTATTTTCCGCTGGGAGGTGAAGTTATGGGATCCGCCATATCCTTTGAGTTTCGCCACTCATTTATCCTCCAGGTATCAGTTTAACTAGGTATAGAAAACAAATTATGAAGAAGGAAGAGAAAGTTCATATATTTATTAAGGCTCTTTGGATTTAAAATATAATATGTTGCTAAAGTTTTAATTCCAGAATTTCGAGAATCATTGGAGTTCCAGACTTGGGATTTAGACCGTATAAGCAGGCACTCAAACGAAGTAATTAAATTGCAAATACTTAATATTACATAACTTCAAGTCTTACTTTCATAGGAGTGGTATTTAAATTGCATATACTTGATGTTGCAACATTTCAAGTCTTAATTTCAGAGATGTGATTTTCCAGATTAAACTCTTAAAAGTCAGAGATTGATTAAATAAGACTTTGCTTCAGTTTTGGATTTCAGTGGTAGGGTAGGGATTCTTGGAATATTAAACATACATAGCTAGGTGAGACTAGTGTAAAATTTTAAATCCTAATTTAATTAACTTTCTTGACATAAGAAAGAGGAAATGTATATAAGGCACATTGCCATAGAACCAGGTTTGCACGTATTCCCACTGCATCATGTTAAATCCTATATAATCTTTTTTACCGTAATTATCTGCGTTGTAACTTGCAAATCTGAGATCTGCCGAGATGTAGAACCGCATGTCAGCGATCGAGCGATTCCTTGTCTCAACCGGCTCCAGCATTCAGGGTCAGATGGTTTCTCGTCTAACTATATTACAAAAATTGCGATTTTTAAGGCAGTAGGATTATAATGAAAAATAGGATTGTTTTAAGAGCTTTCTTAATGTCCGATAGTAACATAAGTCAGCGAAAATAGGAAATATTTCGACTTTGTGACTGTCACTGATAAATAATCAGATAAGTCGGCAAAAATAGGAAATATTTTTATGTTTAGGAGTTAAAAAAGTAAACAATACTGACAGGTAGTAGCATAAGTCAGCAAAACTAGGAAATATTTTAATTTTAATAAAAAAGTAAACAATACTGACAAATAGTAACATAAGTCAGCAAAAATAGAAAATATTTTTATGTGTAGGAGTTGAAATAGTAAACAATACTGACAGATAGTAACATAATTCAGCAAAAATAGGAAATATTTTTATGTTTAGGAGTTAAAAAGGTAAACAATACTGACAGATAGTAACATAAGTCAGCAAAAATAGGAAATAAGAATATTAAGAAATGTTTTTAAGTTTTGAGATTCTCAACAAGGTCGCAATGATATTTTAAAGTTTTTAAAATTCTAAAATATCTCTCAGATTCTGTTTCATGCTCGGGGTCAAACACAGGTTCAGGGTCAGGTTCAGGTTCAGGTTCAAGGCTAGGTTCAAGTTCAGATTCAGGGCTAGGTTCAGATTCATGGCTAGGTTCGGGTTCATGATCAGGTTTGGGTTCAAGGCTGGGTTCCTGTTCCGGTTCAAATAAGAATTAAAGAAGAATAAATGTGATCTTAAGAGTAGTTCTAAGTCATTCAAATTCAAAAGGAAAATCCTATTCCAATAAAAAAAAATAATAGTAATGATAATAATATAATAATAATATAGTAATAATGACAACAATCAAGAAATAAATAGTAATAATAATCTTCACAATCATAAGAGTATTAACAGTCATAATTAAAAAAAATTATGGTTGTAATTAAACTAATTCATACAATACAAAAATATGAAACGAAGTATTTTTTTACAAAAGTTATCAAGTAAAAAGTACAGGAGTACAGAACTGAGCTAGATATAGTACTATTACCTAGAGTACAATTACCTGATGAGGTAAAGATTTGGATAATATTTTTTATAACATTTTGATTTGGATAATATTTTTTGTAACATTTTGATTTTTTTGTACAACAAACTAACCTTTTTAAAGCTAGAATAGTTTTGAAGATTGTTATATCTCTTGAAAATGTTGTCCGACCATTTAAAATAACTTCGAAATTTATACAATGGTGTAAATTTATTAGATTTTAAACATTGATATTTATCACAAAACGTTCATTGTTGAAAATATCAAATTTTCACATTCGGTTGCAAAGGTATAATGATTAGAATATTAGTGGAGATTGAATAGTTCCTTTAGAACATAAAATAAAAGTTGAAAATATTTGAAAATGTTTACATAAATGTATTTTTGCCTTTTTTTCTAGGTTGTAACGGATAAACCTAACTTCTTCACAACTACCACAATAGTAGTGTCAGACTCATTAGGGAATATTCATGGACAAGAAGCTTCAAAGATAAAAATAAATCTTTTTTTATCTAATATAATTTTATTTTATATTCTTTACAGATTTGTTTGTCCCTAGGATATGATCGTACTGTAAGAATCAGATATCGGAATTTTTCCATTGGGAAAGTTTACTTTTTCCTTTAAATTTGATAAAATACAATTTGTACAAGAATATTCTTACACAGCCATATTTAACTGAAGCAAATTTTATTTTAAATTTATATCTTGCATGTTGTCCAACGTTGCTCCTTTTTCTCAAGAGCTTGCTGACAAGAAACATTTTTTAAACTATTTTCTAACACCCATAAAAGTATTTAGAAATTGAATGAAAATATGGAAAATACAAAATTAGAAAAAAATATCTGCAATCTAATCCATTTATTATTTAGAATAAATGGAATTAACCAATAACCAATTATTTCTTTTCTGATCTAACAAAAACAAATTGGGGTTTTTTATAAATGAACTTTTTCTTTGTTAAAATATTGATTTGATTGAGGAACTTTTATCTTTATATTTACTGCCAAATTCCTTAGCATTTAAAATGTATTTCCAACTTTTTTAAATGTTCTATCAAAAGACAACATTTGTAAAAGCATAACCGTCATCAAACATAGTCAATTTGAAGAGTTCAAAATAACATTTAACATTGTTCATGACATATTTACATAGTGAGCAAGGAGAGTATGAGCCTGTATATTATTATTGGAATAATAGTTGTCTTTTCAATTCTCTGCATTGCATACTACTCTTTTAAATGTTGCTGTAAAGAAGAGGAGGTATGTAAATTTATGAGACCAACATTGCATGATCCAATGTGGTATAAGGATTTACCGTTCAACTAAGCAATATACTGAAACAGATTTATGGAACAGTTTTGAAATGCTCATTATGTAAACAGGACCTCTATTTACTAGAACAAAATTTGAAAGCCTATTTTCAATATGCTTTTAACATTATTAAGATTTGTATTTTATGTTAAATTTTCCCATAAAAGGCCAAAACAAAACATTTAAATCTACAAAATCTATAATTCCATTTATAATTATGCTGGTATGTCCATTTTGAAATATCTGAACATTCCCTTTAAAGGCAAAAAATGACCCTGAGCTGGCTCCAATGGTTGTGATTGCAGAGACTGGTCAGCCTGGAGTCAATTCACCCCTTCTAAAGGATGGACCTGAGAAGGATCAAGGTATGTTGTTTAAAGAAATTCTAACAGTTGTTTCTAATAACAAACAAAAAGATATCTAGCAAATTTGAGTAGCCTTCACAAAATATTCAAAGTTTTAAAATACCTTTGGCAAGGCAAGCTCTTAGTAGCTATTTTCTGAAACAAAAATATTTTCAAACTTTCATTTTTCAAAAATTGAGTGCTGACTTTGTACACTGTAGAATCTAAGCATTTTGATAGTTAAAGATGATAAAAAATATTAATTGAGATATTGTTTTTTTTTTTAATGTGACCTTGGGACAACTTGATTATTGAATATTAAAAACATTATTTTGTTTTGATTTAGTAGTTGTGAATGGACTGGACACTGTGGATTTTGGTATGTATCAAGTCTCAATGAAGAAATCTAAATATTTTGTTTTATTAATTTAAAATTTAATTTTTATCATTTTAGAAGACTTAAACACTGCAACTAAACTGAAAAGGTAAATTTTAACTTTTTATTTTATTCTTGTTTATTTGTAAATATTTCAAATACAGTTTGTTGACTTGAAAGTACTCTAAACTTTTAAAACTGAATTGAATTTGAATAAATATTAGTACATTTTTATTTATCTTTCAAAATTCACCATTTCCTGCAACTATGCATGCAGCATTGGCCCATTTTAAACTTATTTTTTTCTAATTCATATCATTCAAGCAAGTAATCTAAAATTCTCTCAAATTATAAAAAAGAAACAGCGTCAGTATTCATTTCTGAAATACAATTCAATACATATTTTGATCTGAAAAATGCCCCAAAATATATTTTTTAAGTTTCTAGCAGATTAAAGATTTTATATTTAAAGAATAAAGTGTATACATATAATAGGTCATTATTAAAGTCTAATCCTTTCAAGGTAAACATTTATGTGACATCAAAGTATTTAGCTTCAATGAGACAGAATTAAAGAAGAGTGAACTTGGCGATCAAACCTTGGCTGCTCCTGCTGACAACCCACCTTCAATCATGGAGAACAAAAAATTACTTGGAGCTGATCAAGAGGTCAAAGCACCAGCTGCCCCGACCCCAGCAGTTCAAGCAAGGGAGCTTGAAGCTCTTCTAGACCCAACAATCAACCAAGGTAGTTCACCTGTAAAATAAAACACTGAGGAATTGCATACAATTCCCATAGGCAACAACTCTTATTGTTAGCTAACACAAAAAAAAACATTTGTTTGTCAAATAAAATTTAAAACCTTGGTTTGTTTATATTTCAGTTCTTAAAAAAAATATTCTTTAATTTAATGTTGGATGTCCATTTACCTTTTTTCAATATTAGAATGGGTTTCTCCAGGGATAATGCATAACTGTCAGATAAGTTTGAAAAGAAAATCTAAAAGTTTTGAAACATGTTTTTACATTTTTAGATCTTGAGAAAACTGCAATAGAAGAAAAAATTTCTACTCTACAGAATCTAACTAAAAAGACTAGTAAAGGTAATAAATGATTACGTACCTATCTTAAACTGAAATCCTTGTTTGCTTTGAATATCTCATTTATTTTGTATAAAGCTTTTAAGGGTGTTGTGGATCAGACACTTTGAAGAAAATTACTAATTAAAAGGAAAAACAAAACAGATGGGGTTTTAAAAACAGCAATTTTGTGTTTGTTTTTATATTTTACTAAAGGTAACTTTTACAAAAATGGAAAATACAGTTAACGAAACAATCATTCTGTACCTTAAATATGTAGTTTGATTTTATAGGAATTAAACATTTAGACTTTAAAAAAACTTAATTACTTTATAATAAATCCTTTACAAGCAAGCTTTATATTTTATGAAATGCTCACTTTTATCTTTTATATTGGAACAGTGTTTCTTCAATTCAAAGTATTTTACATTACTTTAACTTTCTGCAAATTCAGAAAATGAGGAGAATAAGGAGAGCTGGGATGAAAACTTAAATGTTGAGGAGGACTTGAACAAACTCCTAAAATCTATAAATTTTGGTGGTGATGAAAATAATAACCAAGACGAGGCTAACCAGGAGATTCCAGAACATTCACCAGCTGAGGATGACCTTGAGGGTAAGGTGGCATTTTCATTTATCTTTCATTTGCATATCTTACTTTTTCTGATTTAGTTAAGTCTCCTCTAGAAGTGTCTCAAGTAGAGATACCACTGCAATCTCCAACTTCAACCCCAGAACATCAGTTCCAGGTTGGTATATTACTCATTACGTTTTGACCTTTAATATAAAGTCATCATCATTAGTGTATTTAAATACCCTGCTATCCCTTCTATTTTCAGGTCTATTGCAGGTAGGTATTGTAGATTTTTAAATTATGTTGCACCCTTCATGCTGCTTGGGTTTGAAACCCAAATATTAGCCACCAGGATACAATTATGATTAGATTGTTCATGGCTGCATTAAATAAGGCAATAACTTGGAAAACTAATGATAAAATCAGATTTTCAAAAAAAAAAGGAACTTGTGGGTAGCTTGAGATGGTATAATATAGTATATGGTAGAATATAGTATATATGTCTTTAACCAGCAATCTGATGTTCTCTCATGTTTAGTGGATAAAAATGTTAAATAGGAATGAAGACGACATTTTGGAAAGGATGAAAGATTTATTGTCAAGTTAGAATAAAAGAGAGAAAATGACATAAAAATCATCTTTAGAATAATTGAATAATACGATTCAAACTATCTGTCCGAAATGTTATGCTCTAGGAATTTGTTTTAACAATGAGGCCAACACTAAAGCTTAGTCAACTTAAGACAGAACAAAACCAGGTAGATGGATGCAGTGCTGATAGAATGCGCGGGTTTTGTAAACTTAACAAAATAAAAATTGAATGGCATCAATAACCAAACAAATGTAAAAATTTATGTTTGAAGAAACCCTAAATTCTAACGGATGGAACTTCCTATATCAATTGATAAATACTGCTGAAGCATATTTACAAATAGAATTAATGTTGTTTGTGTATGAGAACTTTTACTGTGCAATCTTTACCTAAAATCTAACTCAGTGACATTCCTTTTTCTCACATTTTTGTCCTGAAGCCCAAATTGTCCGCATTTTCAGCTTTTTATCTTGGGACGAATTATTTTAACTGATAATCTTTCAGTAAGGCTTGATTTTGTTTCATGTTTTTAAATGAGGGTCTCCAGATGAATTGTTCATTCTACATTCATTCTTTTCAAAATAATATCAAAAAATGTCTTTTCTAAATTTTCTTCTAATATTTAAAGACGATTCTTTTAAACCATGGTGTTAATACTAGTCATTATTATACTTTCATTTCCAACACTAGCCGGTTGTCTAGGAATTTTGGGGCTTTTCAAGATACCAAAACTTTTTAGTTGAATTATTTGAATTAAACATTTAAACACTTAAACAAGTTTCTAATAGACTTTTTAATTGGTTTAGTTTGAAACCCTTTCTTCTCCGAGCTTAGTTTTAAACAGTGTACCAGCGCCCAAGCCAGCTTTGACAGAGGTAAAAGTAAATCTTTTGTCTAGGAAAAATTGAATTCTAGTTTAAGAATAAATTGGACCTAGGTATATTTCTGGATTGTACTGTTTCTAATTCTAAAAATCAGAATTCTATTAAAAATTTGAATATTTATTGTCTAGCTTAGATTAAAAAGTACAATCTTGTGTTACTATTTTTATTAATGATAAACTAAATTACACAAGCATACTTCTTATAAACTTCTTACAAACTGGGTTGAGAGTATTGTTTTTTGACTTATCACATTTTAGAATGGGGAAAGTGAGCGTTTGGGATTGAAACCTCCCAAGGGCCCAAGAGGAATGAACTTGGTGTCAGCGCAAGTTCAAACAGACTCTATGATTAGAAAGCAGAAGTCTGTTACTCTGTCTAGGTTTGTTAACTTGTCTTGTATTCAGATTCAATGTAGTATAATAAACAGAAGTCTGTTACTCTGTCTAGGTTTGTTAACTTGTCTTGGATTCAGATTCAATGTAGTATAATAAGCAGAAGTCTGTTACTCTTTCTATGTTTGTTAACTTGTCTTGGATTCAGATTCAATGTAGTATAATAAACAGAAGTCTGTTGCTCTGTCTAGGTTTGTTAACTTGTCTTGGATTCAGATTCAATGTAGTATAATAAGCAGAAGTCTGTTACTCTGTCTAGGTTTGTTAACTTGTCTTAGATTCAGATTCAATGTAGTATAATAAACAGAAGTCTGTTACTCTGTCTAGGTTTGTTAACTTGTCTTAGATTCAGATTCAATGTAGTATAGTAAGCAGAAGTCTGTTACTCTATTTAGGTTTGTTAACTTGTCTTGGATTCAGATTCAATGAAGTATAATAAGCAGAAGTCTGTTACTCTGTCTAGGTTTGTTAACTTGTCTTAGATTCAGATTCAATGTAGTATAATAAGCAGAAGTCTGTTACTCTATTTAGGTTTGTTAACTTGTCTTGGATTCAGATTCAATGTAGTATAGTAAGCAGAAGTCTGTTACTCTGTCTAGGTTTGTTAACTTGTCTTAGATTCAGATTCAATGTAGTATAATAAACAGAAGTCTGTTACTCTGTCTATGTTTGTTAACTTGTCTTGGATTCAGATTCAATGTATTATAGTAAACAGAAGTGTGAGTACTATACCATGAGATGAGTAAACCAGTTTTGTCACAATTTTGTCTTGGTCACAAACTCAAATTTTCTTGCCCCTAAAATTTTGCAACATGATGGTGTACATGTTTGATATTTTAAATTAGACTTTTGATCTAACAGAAATCATAGTGTGAAATATCTAAGGGCTATACAACATTGGGATTAGTATATTAGAGTTTGTGGCTAATTTCCTTTCAATGAATTTAAGTCCTTTAAAAAAATCCTGAATTATAAATATAATACTTTCCATGATTTTTTTTATACATGAGTTATATAACAATTGAATTCTGTATTATAAAATGTTATAGAGCAAGGGCTGGAAGCAATTTTGTTTAAATATTAGGAAATTCTTTGGTTTGAAAGCTTTGCTGAACATACCTAACTTTGGTTTTAAAAGATTTTATATTTTGTAAAATCTTGTGTTCAGCTTAAAATGTTAATATGTCAAGTAAAACTCTTTATGTCAAATCATAATCTGTCTGAAATCTGGAAACTAAGCTCACTAATTAATATATTGAAGTTGATTAACTATTCTTCTCATATAAAAAAGTAAATTGGTAGGAAGGAGATAGACAATTCAAATTTTGCTTACATCTAAACTTTCAGTTATTTTTTCTCATTTAAAAAAATGTGTTAGGTCCAACAGTATGGATGCTGGGACCCAGACTCCAAAACTTAGCAGCAGGTAATAAACAATAAAGTCTTCAAATATTTTCTATAAAAAGAATTTAATGAAAAAGATGTATAAACCATTAAGCTTTAAGGGGACTTCGTGCCCATCTTCTATTTCAATTGTGAGCATTTCTCTTTGAATATATTGTAAAACAGAAACAAAAATTGTTTGTTGATTTTAAAAATTTAAAGAAAATAGAATTTTGTTGGAGGCAAAAAATTTTTGAAATTTTGGTAATCTTTTAACCTTAATCAATTAAATAAATACTGTTAAGATTTGAAACACTTTATTTAAAAACTGCACAGAGCAGCTGATCCTAGATCATGGACTGTATAAGAACTCTCTCCCAAGCTTTTCTTGTTTTTTAAGCCTAGGCGCTCAAAAATAGAGGCAGTAATAGTCAAATAGAGGCAGTTATAATAATCAAATAGAGGCAGTAATAATCAAATAGAGGCAGGACTAATCAAATAGAGGCAGTAATAATCAAATAGAGGCAGTAATAATCAAGTAGAGGCAGGACTAATCAAATAGAGGCAGTAATAATAAAAAAGAGGCAGTAATAATCAAATAGAGGCAGTAATAATCAAATAGAGGCAGTCATAGTCAAATAGAGGCAGTAATAATCAAACAGAGGCAGGACTAATCAAATAGAGGCAGGAATAATCAAAAAGAGGCAGTAATAGTCAAATAGAGGCAGTAATAATCAAATAGAGGCAGGACTAATCAAATAGAGGCAGTAATAATCAAAAAGAGGCAGTAATAATCAAATAGAGGCAGTAATAATCAAAAAGAGGCAGTAATAGTCAAATAGAGGCAGTAATAATCAAATAGAGGCAGTAATAATCAAATAGAGGCAGTAATAATCAAATAGAGGCAGTAATAATCAAATAGAGGCAGTAATAATCAAAAAGAGGCAGTAATAATCAAATAGAGGCAGTAATAATCAAATAGAGGCAGTAAAAATCAAATAGAGGCAGAATAAGACATGAAGTATTCTGGCAGTACATTATACATCAACCCGGCTTGTTCCCTAACTTACTCATCAACTGAAGCCCTCATGAAAAATAAATGCGTTGTAGATATTAGGTAATAATAGAGTAATTTATCCTAATTCCACATACACATTGAAAAGATGTATAAAACCAGAGGAATAACAGTGATTTTCTGCAAGAAGATCTCTTGATATCCCTTTAAAACTTTCTATACCTCCAACCTTATCCTACTTCACCAGCAGATATAGTGGAACTCAGAAACCGCTTTACCGTGGAATCTTAACCAAAACTATCTGATCACCTTGAATTGAACCTAGCTCAATGCAGTAATAGGCTATGGAGATCTCTTGAACCTTATTTTTCAAAAATACTGCTGGATACATGAATGATGCAGCAGATTTAGAATTTAAGAAAAAATCAAAATTCTACGAATTTATATCCGGAGTATAAACCAATAAAAAAATTGACAAAGTCAGCTTCATGATTAGCTGCAAACTGACCAAGAGGTCAACTTCAGCTGATATTACTGCTGCAAACTGACCAGGAGGTCAACTTCAACTGATATTACTGCTGCAAACTGACCATGAGGTCAACTTCAACTGCTATTACTTCTGCAAACTGACCATGAGGTCAACTTCAACTGATATTACTGCTGCAAACTGACCAGGAGATCAACTTCAACTGCTATTACTTCTGCAAACTGACCATGAGGTCAACTTCAACTGCTATTACTGCTGCAAACTGGCCAGGAGGTCAACTTCAACTGATATAACTGCTGCAAACTGGCCAGGAGGTCAACTTCAACTGATATAACTGTTGCAAACTGGCCAGGAGGTCAACTTCAACATATAAATGCTGCAAACTGGCCAGGAGTCCAACTTCAACTGATATAACTGTTGCAAACTGGCCAGGAGGTCAACTTCAACTGATATAACTGCTGCAAACTGGCCAGGATGTCAACTTCAACTGATATAACTGCTGCAAACTGGCCAGGAGGTCAACTTCAACTGATATAACTGCTGCAAACTGGCCAGGAGGTCAACGTCAACTTCAACTGATATAACTGCTGCCACTTTGTGACTCAGTTGCTCCTCTACTTCTGACTTTACACTCAAATGTAAAAAAAGAAAATGTATTCGATTATATTTTGTGCATTCAATGCATTTTCTCTTTAAAACAGGATTTATAATAAAATACATAAATTATCTTAATTTTACCTTAATTTTACTTCAGTTTAACATCACACCCTTCTTCAATCATTGTTCGAAAATAATCTTTTTAATCAATATTTTTAGTTTAGAAGTGGAAAAGTATGCACCCCCCTCTCCTCCTGAACCCCCCCCCCTCCTCTTGCCCTCTAATCCTTTTCTTCATGTTTTGCACAGTTGACGTCAAAAAAGTTTGCCTATAAGCTTTAAGATTAAAGAGCAGAAAGTTTTAGTTTGTTTTTACATAATATTATTGGAGGACCAAAACAAAACAAATTATCAACTGATCTTAAGTTGTTATAGTGGTCTCCAATGAGCTTATAAGGTTAAGCTAGGACTTTAATTGTGATGTAATTTTTTTCTTTTAATATGTTGAGAACTATAGGAAAAGTAATTTTGCAAATATTTCCAATTTGCAATATACCTAATTCATGGATTTTAAATAATGGCTCAAACGGTGAAAAAAGATTGGATAATCTATCATAGTCAAAATAAGATAAAAAAATAAAAACGAAATCAAGAGTCAAAATTATAAAGTTTTCTGAAAACATTTTCCAATTAAATTTTTTGTTTGTTTGTATATTCATTTATAACATATGAACCGTTAACTGATTTTTATTGGGAAACCACGAGAAGTTTCTTTGCTTGTTTTACAAATTTTAATTAAGTAGGTTGACTTATGAAGAGAAAATTCAGTATTCAGGGACAGTTCTTTAAATAAAATATCTTTATCCCTCCCCTCCCCCGGAAATNAACAACATCAAAACACTTTAAGATTATTCCAGATTTTTTGCTTTCTCACTGTATCAAGTATCAAATCAAGAAAAAAAAATTATATTTCTAAATCTAAGATGTAAAAGAATGGAATGAATGAATAAATGAGAGATACATATTAAAATCAATAAAATTGGAAATGTCACAAAACAAAGGTATTTCTATTTTCTTCACAATTAGTCTCAATGAAATCATGTTAAGCTATTAGATTTAAATTTGTATTTTTTAAATTTTCTAAAAATTTCATATTAAAGTAAGCCTTTTTATTAAAGCGGTATTTTCCCAATTACTTCTGTAAAACTTAAGCTTTAAACAAGCGCGTTGTAATTTTTGAAATGTATATGACTAGAGCTTCAAAAAGGGAGTTTATGAGGTAAAACCAAAGGCAAAGGTCAAAGCTGTCTAAACATCCTATGACTAAATTTCAGAGTTGTCTCGGGTTATGCTCCTTTACAATCCCCGTTAGGGTTTAGAATTATAATTATTATTATTGTTATAATTATTTTTAATACATTGGTAGGCAATTTTAACAAAACAATAAAGACGACTTTCGATTTCAATTTTGATTTTTATCAAACTGTTAAACAGCATGGATACCCATGACAGAAAAGTCAAGAGAAGCTGTCAATAAAAAAAAGTTTCTCTTTGATTACTTGTAAAGTTGTAATTCGAAAAAGCTTGTTAACAATTTAAACTTCAATAAAAAAAATGTCTTCATTGTATTAATATTATCGTTAACCAATTATTTTCATTATTATTATCAAAATTCTAATTGCTATCTGTATTGTTAATATCTTTTTTCTTCTCAATTTATATAATTAATGGCTGAATTAGGATCTACAGGTGCGAATGGAAATAGAGAAAATAAAGAAGGTGTGAGAACATTTATTGATCAAATCAGAGAAAAAATTTCAAATATTTGTTTTAAAAATTTTGTTGAAATACCTTCAACTTAAATATAATAAAATATTACTAAAATATGCATCTACAAAATAATTTTAAAATATCCCCGCCCACTTGTTTTCAAATAACCCAAATTACCCGTCTGACGAACCACATCCTGAACTGCGCATTGTACAATCTTGTCTTAGTAAGTTAAACCTTCTCTAAAGTCTAATAATGTATATTCTGAACAACTATCATTAACAAATAAAAACTAAATATTGCCTTTTTAAAGGAAATAAGTATTTGTCGCTAAAATTGTCTTATCCCTATATCTTTGCAACTTTGATTTTTCAAACTTAGATGATTTGACCTAACAGAAATTACAGTTTAAAATATCTAAGGTCTATGACATTGGATTGTAAAGATATAGGGATTAGAAAACCAATGCTTGTGACCAAATCTTAATTCCTTTATGTTATGTTCAGGATCTAGAAGAGGTTCAGCAGAAACTTAACGATTCCGCTTCATCCTCAGCTAAGGAATCCAACATAACCAAAATAAAAATTGAAGAAAAATTTATAAATTCTAAACTTAGATTTAATTAATATTTTTTTTCAATAAAATTGATTCCTACGGTTTTCTTACTTTAAATATTAATAAGTGAACGTTTTTGGACCTTTTTTCCTTCTAGCCTTTTGTTAAAAAAGTGGTTTTAAGTACAATATTCGCTTTCAAACAATAACAAAAATACCAATGAATTTTATCATTATTTAACAAAATTCAAAACTTTTAGCATTGTCATGTTTGTTTAAACAAATAGATTTGTATATTGGTACTGTTTCAAGACATGATAATTCTTAAAGTAACAAAACGTATAAAAATATTTTTTTTCTGTTAAATTAGACATATATATAGCCAATCAACGGTCAAATTTGTTTTCTTTTTAAAGTTTCTGATGAGTTTTCAAGCACTAACTCATTAAATTTTCATTTTCTAAAAAGCGCTTTTAATATTTGAATTCAGCATAAAATTTCAAAAAAATTATGTATAACAGGAAATTTTTCAAAATTTTTTGAGGCCTTACGGTGATTTCTCCGATATTAAATAGTCAATTCACAATCGTACTGACGATTAAAAAAAATTTTTGCAATATTTTTATTACGTGAAAACACAAGAAAACTCAAATTTTCTAATCCCTTTATCTCCTTGAAAACTAATGGTCTAAACTTTTGATATTTCA